CGGCAAATTATTTACTCGATAGCGTCAATTTTTATATGTAAGGACAAGTAGATAGATTGACACAGAGATGCGTTTTAATAATTTTTACACAGCAATTATATTTAAAAATCGACTTATACATACCTAAAACATCCGGCGTTCTGGCAGTTTGTCAGATGCTCAGTTTTCAGGTGCAACTGCAACGAAGGCAAGGCAAATATCACCTCTCGGGTGTGCGAATGTCTTGCAGCTTGCCGGATATCGCGGACGTGCTTCTTCCACGCGACGTGTTATTTCCATCCACCGATGTACTTTCCATCTTATCTCTCTCGACGCATGGAAATCTATCTACCGCTATATAATAAAAAGAACAGAGAAAGACATGAATATACACTATTAAAGATAAAAAAATTCATAAAATAAAGGATTCCGCACCAAATACATAGGATTTTAGCTTTCGAATTAGCTGTTTTTTTTTTCATACCTATATAAAACCTATATAAAATCCATATCTAGATCTTTAATCTTAGAAATTAAATCCTAATAAAATCAGCTAATTTTCTCACATGTATTTGATTTATGACTTGCTGAATAAATTTCACCGAAAGCCAAAATTTATATATTTGGTGCGGAGTCTTTTTTATATATAGATTAAATATATACCATCGATCTCACTGCTAGCGAATGCATAATGAAACCATTCTTGCAAAGATTTAAATTGCGGTGGGAATAAAACGCTTCGACTTAATCTACAGACAGTTGCCATGGAGTGATGTCTCGCGTGCTGCTCCTGCTGATGCCCCAGGCTGATGGTTAACGTTTGCACGACGTGAACGTCGTATGTGTTAGGTGCTGCAACAAGAAAATAAAAATTTATAATAAATAAATTGATACAATTATAAATAAAAATAGTTCAGCACACAATATTTAATATATAATATACATATTATACAATATATAATACAACATATAATATAATCTATAATATATAAGTTATATATATAAAATATATAATATTTAATATATTTATAATATAGGTATTATTTAATATATATATTTACTTTCAACACTTGGTATCTCTTGTGCTTCAGTAGCGAAGCTTATACAGGGCTCTTTCAGCGAGAATATGGCCCAACTCTTGCTCTTGAAGTTAATTCCATGGAAACATGCTAAACTAATGTTAGAACCATGAAGTTCCATCGTGCCTCCTAGGACGGTGCCAGTTGACGGTAAGGAAAATCTTAAGCTTCCCAATTGAAGACCGGCTACTTGGGCTAATACCCTCTGCCAGTGTCTATGATGTCTAGCATCCGAAATCGCAGTCTGATTTAAGCTCCACGGACCCCCTATAATAAGTTATCAGCACTATATATCTTTACATCATGAAAAAAATGATCTGATCAATCATAACAATTTGTACAGGGTGTCCCATAGGAAATTTCTGAAACTAATCAGCTGTCATTTTTAATGCATGTTGTCTGGCTAAATCGTTGATTACTAATTGTGTTGGAAAGAGGAATGTCTACAGTTTTTAATGGATATAATAAAATGTTTGTATAGGAGTTTATTTTATTGGAAACAGTAATGAAGAAAGTACTAATAATCAAATATGTAAACTAATAATTAATATTTTCGAAGTGCGCACTATTTGAATTTGTACAAAATTATTCTTTTACGAAAACTCGTAAAAACTTTTTCTAACATGTCATTTTAATGTTATTGATGATCCTTTTAATAGCTACTATTAAATCTGACATTGTTGAAAATATTTATCATTAGTTTATGTGATTTTATGTGATTATTAGCACTTTTTTTTATTACTTTTTATCAATAAAATAAACTGGTATACAAACATTTTATTTATACCCATTAAAACTGCAGACTTTCCTCTTTCCAACACAATTTTTGTTTTCTCAACTAATCAACTGGATGCATTAAAAAATGACAGTTGATTAGTTTCAGTAATTTCCCATGGGACACCCTGTACTTACCATCGGATCTCTTCTTCTGCTGCCTCTTTTTAAAACTACTATTATTTATTCTTTGATGTTTTGGTTGCAACGAGCTAAATACACGTTTGCTACTCTTGAATTGTTGACTGAAGAATTCGTCCAGTTTGTAAAACATCTTCAGTAAGTCAGCTGTTGTCGACTTGCTGATCATGATTTGTAATTGATCCCAACCCAGGTCACCATGCATGAAAATGATGGCAGGCCTGTATTAACATAATTAAAATTTTATTTATATATATTATTATGCATTGTATAAATATGATAATGTAACGTTTGCCAATTTTATTAAAATTAATAAAAACATGTATTTATACCTTCGTGTTGGCATAAAAGCATCACCATTACTGCTACGATTAATTTTCCACTCATCTCTGAGAGTAACATCCAACGAAGACACTCGAGACATTAACACACTTGTTCCCATATAATCCAATCGCAATTCTAATGCAAATAATTTCAATCCCACTGTATGATCAGGTTCTATTCCAGGTTCCTCTCGAATATATACTACAATACATAAACAAATAAATCAAATTCTGCATTAACTTATCAATATAAATATTAAATATGTATTATAATTATTAATATATATTATAATTATTATATATATTAAAATATTTAATATAGGGTGTCCCACTTTAATTAATATAGTCGAATATTACTAAAACTATGATAATGTAATGAAAAAATATTTCAAAAAATAGTTAAAAGAATCTTAAAGCAGTATTCGACTATATTAATTAATGAGACCTCGTATAACAAAAAGAAAACTCACTGTAAGTATCAATTTTACTCAATTCGATTGTTCCACCGACTATACCACCTTTCGCGTCTAGACTCGATCCTCCGAGACCGATACCTATGTACAGATTTTTATGACCTGTGCTGCCGATAGACAGTCTACCATCCGATCTAAAATCTTTTGTCATCCAGCTAACGTTGCCCATTACGTTCCCCATATTCATATGCACGTTCAAACGTGTAAAATTCACGGCGAATAACACCAAGGTCTCCCACGCAGATTCTCTCAATTTGATCTCCGATGATATTTGCTTGTCTGTAGTGAAACTCCATGCTTTCCCAATATCTGATAATAAACATGATAATTATATTTATTAAAGATGTGATAATTAATACTTATTATATATTATATTAAATTATTATTATAGTCATTTTTGTAGAAGCTTCAAGTTTGTTTTATTTTATTTTATTAAATATATTATTTATAGAGCACCCAATTTTAATCGATCATACCCAACAACTTTTTTCTTTATTTTTAATTGTATAACAAAATGTTTCAAACAAAAGTTGTTTGATTTGAAGAGAGGCAGAAGATGACATTACTGACTTTTTTGAAGAGCACTTTTCAAAATCATTTCAAGATCTTTTTATTTTTTTCTTTATAGAATTATTATAATTTCTTATATAAACTAATTTCTTGCAATTTTTGGCACAAAAAGTTATAAAGGTAAGATAGCCAAAAAATGAAGAGTTTATGAGATATTTTATACTTTAATTTTTGACTTTATTTTATACTTTGATTTAAAAAACATAAATGGCCTTCAAATGACCTTGAAAAGCATCCTTCAAAAAAGTTAGTAAGGTCATCTTCTGTCCCCCTTCAAACAACTTTTATTTGAAACATTGCTGTACAATCCAGAAATAAAAAAGATGTTAGGGTGATCGATTAAAATAGAACGCTTTGTATTTTTTTTTTTTTTTATAAAGTGCGCGTGGATACCTTTCAATCGCGCTGGTCTCGGCGGGTCGTTCTCCAAACTGAGCTTCAACTTTTCCCTATTCAACACAGGACTCCTTTCAGGCGCGCTCTTCGACAACGCGTCGCACGTGTGTCTATCGTAATGTTTCAGCAATGAGCTACCCATGACCGCCTCTTCCTGGTTCAACAGAGGGCTCCCGTCTCCCTCCGAGTACGCGGCGACCGAGCTCAGGTCCCCCAGGAATAAGCGTCTCACTATACTGCGTCTGTACCAGGCCTTCGGGAAGGCCAGGATCTCCGTTAATCGACGCATATCGTACTTAAAGGAAGCCGATCCGATATCGATGATTGCTGAAATGATGATTAATTGCTTGGAAAATCTGTCATTTTTTTTTAGATCTTTACACATACTTTATATATATATAGTGTTGTACTTAGATAATTTTAAAATCAGCTAGATAAAGATGAGATAAAAATATGTAAATTCATCTTTGTTAGATAAGATGAAAATGATTTTATTTTAAATATAAATATATCTAGATATATAAATATATCTAGATAAAAGATAAAATTATATGGCGATTCATTTAGATAATTTTTAAGACTGCTTATGTGAACACAGTTATAAAAAATTATTTATCAATTTTTATCGCTTACTGCTTAAGTTCTACTATTAAAGTATTTTTATGTGCTATGATTCTAAATCAAAATTATCTGAAAATTATTCTAGATAATTTAGTAAAATTAATACTTTTTTCATCTAATTGTAAGATGCACACACACACAGATATAGATAATAGATATTTTTATTACCTATATAAAGATATTATAAGATGACGCCAAAGTTTTATCTAGATGATCATCTATATAATTTTATTTAGATAACAGCAAACACACTACACATACTTGAGAATCTTATGACGGCGCGGCTGGTGTCCGAGAGCTTTTTAAGCTGTTCGCTTTGGAAGTTCAGTTTCTTGCTTCTGGATAGGTGGAATTTTACGAACTCGACATTAATGCTCAGCGAATCCTTCCTCTCGCTGTCCGACAAGGGCGACCATTGCGCTTCCTTCAACCCGGTCTTCTTCCCGCCACCGTAGGGATGAAAGATGTACACAGAGAAATCTGCTAGACAACCGGTGACGGATAATCCACCAATGGCCGAACCCGTTTCCTTTCCTGATGCGCTTTGGGATTTGAATTCCCGGAACTCTATCAGCTCTTCCTCGGCCCGCTTCGACGAGAACACAATGTCCAGGGACGGTAACTGCAGCATGCACTCTACTCGTGAAACTGGTAAGCACGAGAATCTAGAGAAGGAAACGATAATTTATTAATAATAGTATATAAATTATAATTTCTAGTAATATAATTAATATTACGAATTAAATTTAAACATGATTCACATTTTTAATTCAATGAATATTAAATATTAATTAATATTAATATAAGTAATAAAAGCAAAAATTGTTGATAAAGGACTCCGCACCCAATACATAGGATTTTAGTTTTCAGCAGAATTGGCTGTTTTTTTTTCTTCTTTTTTAATTTCCTTATTTGGAGACAATTTTTCCTCAGCAAAAATGTCGAGGGAGGCCATCACTTTTTGCATGTTCCCATCATGTATCTTTATAAATAAATAATTTTTGCCATCATGTCTTTATAAATGTCTTTATAAATAAACCTTAAAATTTTATTAGTAAACTCTATTTGAAATTGGAGAATATGGTTTGTTAATATTTTATTTCTACAAGGCTTAGTTTGCGAAACCCTTTATTTTCAATCGCTTATAACTCGAAAATTATGGATGCCTCAATTTTACTGAAAAAAAATTGTCTCCAAATAAAATTTACTTGTATATTTTCGGTATAACACCTTATGATATATATATACAACAATTCGCAAAGTCCTAATTTTTCGTATTTGACTATAAATCTGTAACCATCTATTATTTAGCTTAGAGTCTATTACATTTTTGGTTCAACAAGTTATAAGTTACATATGAGAAAATCGGCTGATTTTACCAGAATTCAATTTCTAGGATTCATCTAGGATTTTATGTAGGTTCAAAAACCCCTGTACTACTCATATAAAATTAAATCTTGATAAGATCAGCTGATTTTCTCATATAATGTAGCTTAAAATCTGCTGAACAAAAAATGTAATAGGCTCAAAGCTAAATAATAGACGAAAAACTTGGGCTTTACAAGTTGATTGGCTATAACTTATTGTTAGTAACTATCTAATATTTAGCTCAAAACTATTATGTTTTTTATTAGGCAGGGCATAAGCTAAAATATATGGAAAAAAAGAAAAATCAGCCAATTCCAAAATCTTATGTTTTTGATGTGGGGTCCTTTTTTGAATTTCTCTTTTAAAAACTGAACATTCGGATCTCTTCTTTTACCTAAACGTGGACGGCTGCATATGAAAATATACTATAACATCGACGGGAAAACTGGCATAAACGTAATTGCTATTCGCAGCCGTGGCAGCCCACAACGTGTTCTCTGTATTTTCCGACAGGAAACTAGCGTTCGTTTGCGCGCTACTTTGGAAGTTATTTTTGCTTGGAATTGGCTCTAGAGTTTGCTCGAGAAATTCGAGAATATGAGGACTAATAATAGTCTCCTCCGGAATGCTCTGCAGAGTCATCCAAGCGAAGAGGCTGGCTTTTTTGGTGCTAGATTTTCTGAGCATCGTCATCGTGATCGGATTCAACAGGCTATTTTCCGCAGATACACGGGGAGACAACGATTCCTCTGGAAGAGTCTTGGATTCATAATGAACCTGTAAAAGAATTTTTTATTATACTTTTTTATTATATTTTATTTTATTTTATTTTATTATATATTATATATTATTTTTATATATTATTTTTTTATATCCGCTGTTTGAAAAAAAAATTTTGTTGATATATTCTAATAATAAATAATATCTGAATTTTTTTTACCTTAACATCTAAGCCGGGAATATGAAAAATTGTTAAATCTACCAAAGGCACATTTGTATGCTGCAAATATCTCAATCGAGATGTGCTGGCTACTGACGGTTTCTCTTTACTGTTCAAGTGTTTTCTGCTGCTATTGGGACTGCCGGATTGCTGAAATTCGAACATACCACCAGAACACGATCGTTCTTTCTTCATTCTACTCAAGCTGGAAGAGAGGAATTGATGTTACATTGAAAAATTATATTTCAAGAAATCAAATTAAAATCTGCTATAGATATTTACAATTTAATTTCGTCCTCCCTTCCTGGATCTTTTGTATGTAATACACATTTTCCACTATTAATTAGAACTTTGACATCAAGTTCGAAGTCTATATTTGGTTCTTGAGCTTTCTGAGAAGTGATGTATGGAGATGAAGTCGAGGATGCTTGCTCCTTTCCAAATGAATCGAGCAATGGTGCACTGAAAATGAATGATAAGTCTAATGTATTTCTGTATAATCAAATGTTGTAAAGAAATTCCCTGATCTTCCAAATTTTCATTAAAATTCTTAGGCAAAATAAGAAAATTTGTAGCTGCAGCTCTACAAAATAAGTTTCTTAAGTTTCTTTATTGTATGTGTTATACGATTGCAAAAAAAATTATCAAGAATGTAATTTTTCTAGCATTTAATATTGTTTTATTAATCAAACTTAATTTAATTAAAATAATTTAAATAACAATAAAAATCTAATATAAATATCATATCTAAATGTTAAAAATTTATATAACAAATATAAAATAAAAATATTAAATATTAAAATATAAAATAAAAATACAAAATATAAAAATATAAAATAAAAATATAAATTATAAAAAAATATAAATATAAAATAAAGTATAAAATAAAATATATATAAAATAAAACATAAAATAAAAATATGACATCGATAATTATTAAGACTACATACTTTCCCTCCATACTGTCATAACTAGATGTACAACTGGTATCTCTAGTCTTCTTTCTCAATTCAACACGTTCTCCTTCTATCTCAATAGTTTCTGGCCATTCTAATTCCCCTTCTGGTAAACTCAAGTCAGAACTAGCGCTTGGTAAGGATGATTGCCTAATAAAAGTAAATACTTATTTCATGCAAATACTTCTTCTTTCTTTATGACTAATGTGATTTTTTTAAACATACCTGCCCATTGTATGTGTATCGCTAAAGGTAACTCGTGGTCCACCAAGTCCCTTTATACGCAGGGAAGCTGATCTGTAATAATCATTTTTTAATATGAGAGCTTATAATTTTTGTAAAAATTTACTTAAATTAAAAACTTATTTTTGCAAATATTCATGGTGTCTATTCTCAAATTTTGTAAAAAAATTTCTTGATACTTCCTGAGATATTTCCTTTCTAGTATCTCCGTTTACAATTTCATTTAAATAAGAAAACAAGAAAATTTGTAGATACAGCTTTTTAAAAGTTCCTTTTTTGTATACGTTTTATAATGTTTTTCTATTCATATGATTAGACAGTTATCAAGAATGCAATTTTTCTAGCATTTAATATTGATTTATTATTTGTGAAATTAATTTGGATAATAATAAAGCAATATATCATTATATCTAAAATTATATATGCAATATAATTATAAAATAAAAATAGAAAACAAAAAATAATTTATAAATGTTTAAGAAATATTAATTTATTTTAATTAATTAATTTATTTATTAGTTTCAAATTATTTTTATTTTTTTATTTATTATTAGTTTCAAAAATTTATTTATTAGCCTTTCTGATTTTCAAAATTATTTATTAATATAGGGAGCTTTTCTTTAGTATTATAAAAAAATGCATACCGACTGGGGCCGCTTCTGGGGCTGCTCTCGTAACTAGCAGAATTTGCTGAATTAATTTCCGTATTCACGTCTTCTGGGCTTTCTAAATGATGTTCCGGTGTAGGTGAAGGTACAATAAATGATCTCGAGCGATATGTATTCGGTTTACTACCAAGACCTAATTTACCCTTGATACTGGAAGCTTTAACCGACTGTCTCCTCAACTTTTGAATCATGTCCCTGATAACAAAAAATATATGTAATATTTTTTTAAAAGGTCAAAATATGGAAAGAGGAAAAAAATTACAACATACCTTCTAAAATCTTTAAATACCATTGCTTCTAATTCGTGCAGACGTTTCATCTCTTGCTCGATCGTTCCGTGCGAAGCCCCCAGTGATCGCAAATCGTTTATAATTTTGGCCTGCTCGTTCATTTCCTTCTCTATCAATTGCGATCTCTTTTTTGCATCAAGTGTAGGATCAAAAATAAAGGCCGGTAGATTATCCGTCCAATTCTTTGATTTTTTTATTAATATACTTTCCTGTAATCACAAACAATATTGATTTTAAATAAGACCACTGCAGTGTAATTCTGAGATCTTTTTTAATAACAAAAGATATTGCAAACTTAAGATTTATTTCTTTAATGCAAGTTTAAAAATAAATAGGTTATACTGTTCTTTTCTTTATTATATATTTTTCATATAATTCTTTAAAAATAGTTCTATATTTTAAATAAATATAATAAAGAAATAATAAATAAATATAATAAAAATTAATTAATATAAATATTTTATACTCTCCTTTTCTTTGTTATATATTTTTCATATAGTTCTTTAGAAATAATTCTATATTTTAAATAAATATAATTAAAAAATATTAAGTAAATATAATAAAAGAAATAATTATATATATAAATGACATTTTGTTCTCATTATACCTATATATTACTTACTTTTAAATATAATACAGAAGTTACGCATGTAAAAATGGCGAAAAATAAAATTAATTAAACCATACTTTTTTTTTAACCTGGCTAGTGCTATGTTCCGGTTGATCTCCATCGTCGCTATCATAATCCGCAGGAACGTGAATATCATCTTCCTCTTCAGAACCAGTTAACATCGTTAATGTATGTCCAAGAGCCGACAGCTGTTGTCCTACACTGACATCAAGATGAATATCAACTCCTTCCATTTGCCATTGAACATTTAAGATCCATTTGGCATTATCTAGAAAAAATAATTATTAATTTTATTATTAGAATAATATCAACTTTATAAAAAAAAGTAAATTACACACCAGACTTGTCTTGTTTCTGTGCAATAGTTCTGCTACAAACTTCATAAGTGCCTTCTGATACAACACATAAATTCATTATATTACTATCAGTCATATCTGGCTTCCAATCATCCAAAGAAGTTTCAAAGTCTTCTGCGAATCTCAAACATAATCCTACAAATCTACAAAAAGATGACAAAATATACATTAAATTTTATATATATAATATAAGCCTATGTTCTAAGAATTTAAAAAACAGCAAATATAGGATGTTCTATTTTCGAAGAAAGTTTAAATGTATAAAACTTCTTCCCTCAGAACCAAATAATTTTTATTTTTGATTGTACAACAATGTTTCAAACAAAAATTGTTTGATTTAAAGAAAGACAAAAGATATTTTATTAACTTTTTCTAAAGATTTTCAAAGGCAACACCATATTTTTTTTCAAATAAACCAATTTCTCAGAATTTTCGACATAAAAAGTTATAAGAGTAAGATGACCAAAAAATAAATAGCTCAGAAGATATTTTATACTTAAATTTGACATAATTTTACACAAACTACAAAATATCTGGTGAATATTCATTTTCAGATGATTTTATTTCAATACTTTTATGCACAAAATAACGAGAGAAATCAATTGGTGTAAAGAAAACAAATGACCTTCAAATGACTTTGAAAGGCGCCCTTTAGAAAAGTCAGCAGCGCAATCTTCTGTCCTCCTTCAAATCAAACAACTTTTGTTTGATTCGAAACATTTTATTGCACAATCAAAAATGAAAAGGTCTGTAGGGATGATCGATTAGAATGATGCGTACCTTCCTTTGCTAACCAGACTACCGCTGCTGCACGCGGATATGCTGGTGTTTTCGAGCGTCACCACGACAGCCCCTCGCGATTCTCCGTCGTAAAGACTCCTGTTCAATCTCCAATTGTTCGGCGGCAATGGATTAAGTGGCACGCAGATGCCCATATCGTCGACTGTCAATTGCAGGAACAAAGTTCCGAGATGCGGCGCGCTCAGTTGACTCGTCAGCTGCCCGAACGGGACCTTCTCGAACACCTGCTGGGTGGCGGTCAACACCTCCTTATTCAAATTAGACCTCTTCTCGTTCCAGTACTCGTACGCGTTCTTGTAATTCAGCCAAACGAGTATAGCTTTATCGATGGCCATGGGTTGTATATAAATTAGCGGGCGTTTAAGGGTGATAAGGACCACTTCCTTGTCCTGGCCCTGCGCCATCTCCTCTTGGAACGCATTTCGCAGCCCGATTCTGGTATTAAAAAAGGCGAACTGCTGGAATTCTGGCTCCACCTCCTCGAACAGGACGTTCTTCAACAACTGTCCCAGACTCAAGTTGATATCAACTTGCGCTTTGCCGAATAATTTCATGTAGGGATTCGGCTGGGTGGACCCGGAAACATTTTGCACTCTGTTGGATAATTGAAATTCGACCGCGCCAGTTTCCAGCCGCACCGCCGAGCTTGTTGGAGTCGTTGCGGTCAATTGAATTCTCTGCGAGCAAATAAATAATGAAATTCTCCCTTTTCCTATATATGTACCTTTTAATGATCAAAGCGACTGCTACAAATTAATTCACGATTTTTATTGTCGATAAAATAAAGAAATATAAAGGGAAAACTTGATGAAGATTCTTCTTACTTTAATACGTATAATCAGCGAGAATAAGATTCGTTTCAGAGTAGAGTTGGTGGATTCGTCGTCCTCGAGCCACAAAGGCACCGGTTTCTCGCCTCCATAAACCTTCTGCACCACCTCATTTACCTCTTTCATAAATACTTTCTGCACAAATACTAAATGATTTAGGAGATCCGTCGTCAAGGAATGTTCAAATACCCCGATATCGGCAGTTGCGCTTAAATAGCTACCTTGTCTCAACACAACACCATCTGTGAAACAGGAAATTTGTTAAAAAAATATAATTATTAAAATTGAAAAAAAAACACGATCAACTGATTTACCTGCTAATTTACTATCATTCAAGTTTCCGCTTCCGTCTTGAACGTATTCGGCCGAAACGTGCACTTTAGGTAATTCGATGCTGGCTTCGGACGGTAGATTTGCCTCCGTTACTTGCAGTTTCGTCGTGAAACTCAGATTATGATGGGGCAAGTCTATGGTAAACTTAGCCTTACCGCCTGTTATGCCGGAACTATTCACCTGATCCATCTTGTACTGGGCTTGGAGGGACGGTAACAACGCCGCGGTTATGCTCAGGCTTTGAAGGATTATGTGGAATTGCATGACAATGGGCTCCAAAAGACCCGACACGGTCTGCCCCTTCTCCTTTTCCGGATCCACAGACGGAGCTGGCGCATAATGATGCGGACTCCCCGGAACAGCGTCCACGTCATCCTGTTGCTGTCCTCGCGACATTCTCGACGACGTTCTGGTAACTCTTAGTTCCTACAGACAAATAAAGCGTCCTATTTTAATCGATCAGTCTTAATTTTTTTTATTTTTGATTGCACATAATATTTTAAACAAAAGTTGTTTGATTTAAAGGGAGACAGAAGATGCTCCTGACTTTTTTTAAAGGACGCTTTTCAAGATCATTTGAAGGTCATTTGTGTGTTTTTTAAATGGTATCACTATATTTTTATATATAAATCAATTCCTCGCAGTATTTATTCTAAAAAGTTATAAAGGTAAGATGGCCAAAAAATGAATAACTTAAGAAGTTAAGAAAACACGTAGTTGTTTTATATAAAAAAAAATATTGTAAATTGTAACTAACAGCTACATATTTTTTCTTTCAAACTGGTTTTTTTGTACCAATTGATTCCTTTCATTATTTATACATAAAAGTTATTCAGGTAAGATTCTTGAAAAATAAATATTTTATAATTCATGTGTGTAAAATTATGTAAAAAAGTATAAAATATCTCAAAAACTATTCAATTTTAGACCATCTTTTATAACTTCTTATGCCAAACGTTACGAAGAATCAATGTATATAAAAAAATATAGTGGTTTTTTTTTTTTCATCAAAAAAACAAATTATTTTCAGATGAGCTTGAAAAGCGGTCTTTAGAAAAAAGTCTGTAGCAGCATCTTATTCTGTCCACCTTGAAATGAAACAACTTTCGTTTGAAATATCATGTACAATCAAAAAATAAAAAAATTATACCAAGCTGTTTGGTTTTGAAAGGAAAAAATACTGACGACCTCTTCTGATAAATTAAACTTATTCTTCAACAAATCGAACGAGCGTCGAGTAAGATCGACGCCTACCTGGAGCGTCGACGACAACTGCTTGCTGCCTCTGGTCATCATTCCGTGCAGGGCTACGGGATGCTGCGGAATATCGATGTTGACAGCACCGACGGTCAGCAGACCGCTGTTCTTGTCCTTCTGGCGCCTCGTGATGCTGGAATACAGCGCCTGCGACTTTCCCACGGTGACTTTTACGACCGTCTGCTGATTCGGGGCGACGCCCTCCAACAAAACGATCATGGTCCTCCCGATCTGTCCGGTCAGGCTGCACTCTAGGCTCGCGGGTCGCGACTTCTTCCGGCAGGTCAGACTGGCGTGGAGACTAGTGATCTCCGCCTCGAGCTTCAGGCCGCTCAAAGTGGCCAGTAATCTGGTCCTGTGGATCCTGGCGACGCCGAAGATGATCAATCTCGTTCTCTCGCCCGTCACGATGTCTAAAATCACGAACAGTGATGGGTAAGATACATTTTAAATATATATCTCGATACAGATACAGATACGTGTAAAAAATATATCTAGATACAGATACACAAATTTAAATGTATATAGATGCAGATACTTAGATACTTTAAAAGTATCTTAGATACATATCAGATACTTTTAAACTATGTTTTATTATAACAATGATAATATGCACAAAATGTACTCAAACTATTTCGTTATAGTACTAAAATTTGACCAATGCTTAATAATAGCTCAACCGATGTTGATAACTTGCAGTTTTGATCTTTTAATAATTTAAAGAATTAGGCTACTCAAAAAAAATATGTCTAAAAATGTATCTGAAAAAAGCAATTCAGATACCATGTTTTGTATCTAGATACAGATATAGATGCTTTAATTCGAATATATCTCAGATATAGACTCAAATACACAAAATGTATCTAGACACTGTATCTAGATACATGTATCTAGATACAGTATCTAGATACAGTATCTAGATACATGTATTCGAATATATCTCAGATACAGACTTAGATACACAAAATGTATCTAGATACATGTATTCGAATATATCTCAGATACAGACTCAGATACATAAAATGTATCGAGATACTGTATCTAGATACATGTATTCGAATATATCTCAGATACAGACTCAGATACACAAAATGTATCGAGATACTGTATCTATAGATACATGTATTTAAATACTATCTAGATACATGTATCTAGATATTACTCAACACTGATCACAAAGATGTCGATATTGATGTTGAAGAGAGGATAAAGAGTACCAAAAAATAAATCTCACTTAATTCTCTCGACGGAGGGACGGGCGTGGAATTGTTCTCCGCGTTCAGTCCCTTCTCGATGTCGATGTCCTTGGCCTCGTTCAGGATTTCGTACTTCCTGCCGCTCTTCCCGTGGTCCGCCGCGTCCGCCGGGATCGAGAATCGGTGAGTGATGGTCTTCGTTTCCGGCCGAGTCGCGTACAAGTCGAGAAGATAGTATATCGTCTTCCAGCATCGCGGCGTCAGGTGTCCGCTGTCCTTGCGGGCCGCATCCGTGAATTTGTCCAGGTTCGATCCGCTGGGGCTCGCGCCGAAACTGGGCGTGATAACACCCTCGCTCAGATTAATGTAGCCCTTCACGCTTTTACCGGTGCTGCGTAATTTCTGGGCGAAACTCTGCGGCCGCGAACGTTGCACGACCGTCGTGCCCGGCACCTTCTGTTGGTTGGCCTCGGCGAAGCCGCTGCCGAGCAGCGGCACTTCCATCTTCTTGCCACCGAGGAGAAACTGCTCTTGCAGATCGGATGCTAGAAATCAAATGTTCATCTCTTTTATCGTACGAAGTAAAACAAGTATTATATAGCTTTGAAGCTATTGTACATCTTTTGTTCAGCAAACCACAAGCTACAATATATAAAAAAACTAGTAAAAAACTATGAAAAATTGATTCAATTCCATCTAGGATTTATCATATAGATTTTCACACTAATTCTATATAAAATTAAATTTTGGTAAAATGAGCTAGTTTTCCCTCAAGTTGTAACTTATATGATCTGCTGAATAACTTACATCTTTTATTCAGCAGGTCACAAGCTACAATATATGAAAACTATGAGAAAACCAACTAATTCAATTCCATCTAAAATTCATCATATAGGTTCAAAAACCATCCACACTAATTCTACCTAAAATTAAATTTTGGTAAGATGAGCTAGTTTTCTCTCAAGTTGTAACTTATATGATCTACTAAACAACTTACATCTTTTATTCAGCAGGTCACAAGCTACAATATATGAAAAAACTAGCCAAATCCACCGAAATCCAATTTCCACAACACATACATAACTTTATTCGCTTCATGACTCTGGTAAAAATATAATACTTACTCGACGACGAGCCATTCTTCGCAGTGGTATCGTTGACGATTATATTAGCGCTTCTCTTCCGTTCAGGCTGTTGCTCCTTCAACTCCATCTGCGTTTCCTTAACGTTCTGATACATGTTACTTATCTGATGCAATAATCGGAGAAGAGGCATGTTCACTTGCTGACTTATGTACCGGATATTCAAACTAATGTTGACCACCGTGCTAGTATGCTTCTTTAATTGACCCCTTGATATGTATAAAACATTTTGCTTCTGTATCATATCGTCCACCGTCATATCGGCCATTTTTTTCACATCAATATCCACGCCGATTCTTTCGCACAGAAATGCTGGCGTCTCGGGTGGTATATCGAGATAAAACTTCGAATTAGTTTCTTTTCTTGACTGATACTTATTATCTGTAAAATTTAAAAAAATATATATGTATATACACAAAAATCTTATTAAAATTCAAGATTATCAACTTTACATATATATTATTTATAGAGATACTCCTGATAGCTTAATAAAATGGTTTTAATAATTTTGCAAACTTACTTTTCTTCTTTTCCATAACCTTTCCAAACTCGCTCACGACTATATCGATGCGCATCGTATCCATATTGCCTACAAGAGACAAGTTCGATCCTAACGAATCTAAGGAAGACATGTTATTTACATTTCCTGATCCGATAACTGATAACATCTGTTGTGGCATAACTGACAAAGACGACAAAAGTGGCTCAAATATCAGATGTGCGTCTAATAATCTAAGAGAATCTTTCATTGGATACAAAAAGGCACCGCTCTGTATATCTGAATCTTCGGTATCGTCGGTAGTCATAGTGTTGATTTTTGAGTCCTGCAAAAAAAAAGTAAAAATACTTTAATTAATTTTTATATCACAAAGCAACGTATTGTTGAATAGAGCACAAAACATTTTTAAACACATAATGTAACTAAAATACAACTAATTGTTTTTCAATGTACCTTCATAGATTTTTGCTCTGTACGAAAGACCTATGTAGCAAGGAAATGTCAACATAAAAGAGTGAACACTCAATTTTTCAATATATATAATTTTTTAATATATATATATATATATATATATATATATATATATATATATATAATATATATATAATTTCAAAAATATATATATATACGTATACACACACATTATATATTATATATTTCAACATACATACATATATATAACATGTGTAATAACATGGTTAATATTTTCAACATATATAAATCTTTACATTTTCACAAACACGTCTCTTGCATATTTAATTAAATAATTAGCAGACTATAATAGTGTAATAATATATATACAAATATTGCACTTACCCAATTTCCCTTTAAATTTCCTTTGTCATTGTCTTTTATAAATTCTTGCTGCTTTGCCATCCAGCTGTACAGATCCTCCCCTGTATTTATAGGTTTAATAGAATGATTTGTGGGAGATGTTACTTGTTCCAGACTCCCAGTGCTATGTTGACTACCGTGTCCTATGCCTCCGGAATAAATGCTAGGATTGGAGCCAAGCTGATGCGAATGCGAGATATGAATTTGCGGGGTCTTGTCTTCTCTCAAGGTCCCATAGCCTGTGATACAAGAATAATTTAATAATGAAAATAAATACAATAAAAGATGATATTATTAATAATAATTAAAATAATTAGGGATAGTTTTTCATGATAAAAATGAGGATTAATATTTGAAAAATAAGAGACATACACACATGATAATAGTTTTTAATTGTCGTTACTCCAAGCAAGACAATTTACCAAAGATCAAATTAACTTAATATTAATTACAACAAAAAAATTGACATCAGTCCCCCTTACTTACTTATATTATTCGCTTCTCGGGTTTGACCAAACAGTCCGCTGCTGGTAAGTAAAGGGAAAACAATACTCGCACGAGCACTAGCGGGTACTTGCGTCTGTTGCAACGTTTTTCCTCTCTTTGCGACAGCTACGGGCGGAGAAGGAGAGGAATATGAATCCGGGCCTGGAACCGGTGTTGCTATAGGAGTTGTATCTTTCCCGCGAGGCGAGCTTACGGGAACCGTCAAACCATCGCCACCACATATACCTAAGCACGTTATCGCACCAACAAAAAGCGTTTGTATACAAGGAAGTATAGTGTTACGTTTGTTAATTAAGAGGACAGACTCGCAAAAGCTCGGTTTAAAAGGAAAAGAGACACTTAAACGAAAGCATGCACAAGCATTTATATATGTACACAAGATTAAGCTTTTATGAAAGCAACAGAATCAATTAATGACGAATTACTGCACACCTCAATATATGGAAATGTGTAATTTTTTGTTCTTTTTTTCAATCAAAATGTAGGAAAAACGTGTATAAAAATATAAGAGCCTGATATAATTTGTTTAAATATGTAAAAAACAAGCTAAAACATCTTTAATTATTTTGTATAATATATATATACGCTCCTTTAACTGTAAAATCTTTTTTAAGGCTCGTAGGTCCTCGCCGCGACTATGTTAGATTGTGACGTCAGAGGCAAGAAAACACATACTGAAAATTCTTACATGAAACACTATTTCGGATGGCTTTAGCACACTTTTAAAATACCTCGAAAACTATTTTTTTTATTTCGAAACGGCATCCAATAATTTTTTTTGCCTTTGACGTCAATTCCAACATGAAACAAGAATCCAGGAGCCTTAGAACCAAAGAATTATTGTTCAAAACATTGTTTTCTACAACACAATAATTTTTATATATATTTAAGCATTTAAAAAATGAGACACTATAATAAATAATACCAACCAAAAATAATTATAAATTTAACATAAAAAATAATTATATTCGCTAATTAATTATACAATGCAGAATTAATATTAATATCATTATAATATTATATATATTATATTGATATATATTATACATATTATATTAATATATATTATATATATTATATTAATATATATTATATATATTGTATTAATATATATTATAATATATATATATATATATATATATATATATATATATAATATTAATATTTTTTCAATTATTAAGAAAATTTTTCTTTGCAAATCTTTTGCCCTATTTTCTGTTGATACTTGTAATGTTATGAATGCTTGCTGTGATTTGTAGTACCTGATGTTTTATCTTGTCCGCTTTTGATATGTGCATGTTTATGCATATGGTCCGTATGGATGAGCATAGCACATTCATCTGTGACTTCCTGATCATCAATATCTCCCGCGCTACCCTCTCCATCGGTTAATAGATTCTCCTAAAAGTATCAGCAAAAAGCACCACTCAAAATAATTTTTTTTTTAAAGCTACATTTTTATTTGAGGAAACAATTTTATAAAAAGTAATATTTCACTGACATTAAATGTGTATAATAACTTTTTCTCTTCTTCCCTGTAGTTGTAATATCTAATTAAATTGAAAAAAATGCCTTAAAGCTGATTTGACGTATAGCAGAATGTAGCGTTACAGTTAAATCATTTTTTAAAATATAGAACATAAAAATATAAAAAAGTTTTATAATAATAAAAGATTTCAAGCTATTCCACATAATTGATTATTAGCGACATTTATTTCTTCCAAGCATAGCCGCACCTGTACACCTGATTATTCAATATAAATAATAATAAAGAGATAGAAAATTGTTATATTAAATATATATATTACAGTTTGTTAAAAGCATATGTGATACAATTCTCTGACAAGAAAACATGTTCTTTTCTTTCGATTCTGATAGAGACTTTGATAGACTTTGGAAATGATGTAAAAAACAAAAAGATATTTCTTATATTTTAAGTTCGTCAAAATCGGAAAAGAACACTTTCATATGTTTCCTTGTTAGTCGGTATTTAATATTTTTCAGTATTTAACAATTTTGCAAGAAGAATTTTAAAGCGTTTAGTCCAATTTTATTTTTAAGAAAGAAAAAATATATAAACGATTTTGTTATATATTGCACAATACAAAAATTCTGTAAAAAGTATTTTTACTGAAAAATTCTTACTCCTTTTCATATCGATTTCTTCCTCCACTTTTGTCTTATTTACTTGCTGAAAGAAAAAGTTCCTGAGTTTATATTTTTTAAAAAGTTTATATTTTTTTATTGATGACTCTTCAAGATCTTAAATATTTAAAAGACAAAACAAATAAATACAAGGTGCATATAAATTAAATATTTATATTGTATATTAATTATCAATTTTAATATTTACAATAATAATGGGCCGATACAACATAAAAAATATGCTCAAAAAATACTTTTTTTATAAAATAAATTAATAGAAAGTTGTCAAAATATGCTTTATTTATATAAATACGATGTTTCAGTTCTAACTAATGTCTCTTCAGTCACAAAGTATATAAATATATACATGCATATATACATGAATATATTTTGTGACTGAAGAAACATTAATTAGTGTAGGAAAGATTCCACTTATATCAATTAAATATATTTTCACAATTATCTACATTTCATTTTATAAAAAAAAAAAATTATTCTTTAATAACTTTTTCTAGGCCGCATCAATTCATTTAATATTGGACTTATTTTTTCAATATAACGAGTTTTATTATATACTTATTTTTATTATATTTAATCAATATTTGGTAATTATTTAATGTAACATTTACATTTGACTTTGACTCTAAAATATACTGTCAAGGTCATAATTATTATTACTCTTTAAAAGATTTTAACCGCTTATTGTTTATTAAAAAATTATTAATAAAAATATAAGTTATTAACAAAGTATCGCATCTATATTTGTTAAGTTTTTAAATAAATAATGAACTAAAATTATTTAAAGATTTATTAGAATCTTAACTTTAATATATATAAAAGTTAAGGTCATCTGTGGATTTCATGCTAAAATCAATAATTATCTCCTATTTTTTCAGCATTTTTAAAAAATTTAACTATCAATATTAATGTTTAAATCAATAAACCCTAGAATATTTATTAATCTGTGCAATATATATATCTTACCTCATCTGGATCTGACACAGCAAATGTAACGTTCAATGGTTTAACATGTTTAGTTTTGTAATTATGTTCCAACAATAATGGTGTATAAAGCACATTCTTCCATTGTCTGCTCAATACGATGACACCCTAATAAAAAAATAACAATAATGAAAAATTTATATTGCAAAACCTAAATTATATTCATACATATTTTACAAAAAAATTATAGTCTTTAAAATTCTTACCTGTCGAAGTGTTGAAAGAAGCGGTAAATCGGATTCTTTTAAGTTAGCTTCAATATTTGTAATTTCAGACAGTAAAACGTAATTCTGTAATATAGTACATAATTGACAAGATGGATCTTCCTGTAATGTTTTTGCTAATGGTGTCAACCTTCCATAACGACTCTGTTAAAACATACAAAAATGTTAACATAAAATTAACAAAAAAATGCGTCAAGCAATTTTCAAAACGTCTATTCAAATTATGTAAAAAAATGTCCTGAGAATCCCCTGTTTCTCTATTTATTTTTTTCTTTAAAATTCCAAGTATAATAAAAAATATGTATAGATACTTTTTACAATAAGTTTCTTTATTGTATGCACTTTCTAATGTTTTCTATTCATACGATTGCAAAAGAGTTACGGTAAAGAATGCAGTTCTTTTAGAATTTATAACTCCTCACCATGATTAGATTGTGACGTCAGAGGCGAAAAATCAAACACTGAAAATTCTTAAAAAGAAAAGGGTAATTTTGGAAATATTTTAAGAGTGTGCAGCCACCTGAAGTGCTGTTTCATCGAAATATCTTGTTATCTTAGAATTTTCAGCATATGTTTTCTCACTTCTGACGTCACAATCTAACATAGTCGACGAGGAGCCAGGAGGCTTAATTTATTACTCGTAAAATTAATTTTGGACCATAAAACAAACTGCAATGTATACCTTCATAGGCATGTGTATTCCTTGAACGTCCAATGCTTCGGCCATGAGGCAAGCCACGATCGCGGTGGATCTCCGATACATGGTTCTGAACATATGAACGATCCGAATTGCAAACTTGTTACTGGGATTCATCCACGCGTTTATCGCCGGCGACGCTGTGCTGAGCAGATTCCAGTCCAGTCTCGTATAGTCGATCTTCCTCGTTATCGGGGTACGTGGGGGTGCAGCGAAATTAAACCAGACAGTCTTCAATTCGATGACGCATGACACCGTGTTGCCATTAGCCACCTTGGATGTGAGACTGTTGCATGTCACACTCATATTCATCTGAGTGTTGGCCGATGCAGTTGTCGGCTTCGTTTCCGCCTCTGTAGTAGCTGTTGCTGAAAGTAGATAGATAAATGAAACGAGTGGACGAGTGCAATAATAATTTTGCATCAAAATCAAGGTTGGCAGAAAACTTGCTTTTTGTTTTATATGTATTTTGCAAATTGCAATAGATAAAATGTAAAGTGCAATGTGTTATAATTTGGATTTTAATAGTTTGCGCTTTGTGCAAATAGCTTTATATGTATAATCTTTAATATATTCGATTATACTAATTGTTATTGTGTATTATTATATTAATTGTTACTTACTATTTAATATCCAAAAATATTCTGTTAAAATAATACTTATCTTCTTATTTTTATTTCATTATTTATATTTATATTTTTAATTTTATATCTATAAATATAAACTAAAAAAAATTAAAACAAAAATCTTTTTGCAATATGTACGTCTATTAGTTTTTCTTCGCAATTCCTTTTTTCAAATAATCATATATTTTAATTGCAATGTTTTAAACAGTTTTAAATAATAGTTAAACAAGTTTTAATCAAACAGTTTTAAACAAATTGTTTAAAACATGCCAATCCTGATCAATATTATTGGAATACTGGGGTATAGGTATTTTTTTTACCAGCAGTATTGTTGTCCAATTCGTCTTGGCTCTTGATGCTATCCGTACAAAGTATTTCGGTTTCGCTCTTCTTATTAGTATCGCCGTTTTCGTTCTTCTCAAACTGAGATCTCTTAACTACTTTTAATTTAATTCCCTCTAGACCGCACTCGAACATGATAAATCCCAGTCTATCCTCTCCGCATCCCATAGTAAACTCTTCAGTCGCTTGCGGTAATCCAGTTTGTTTCTAAAATACAATAAATTATTTATTTCTCTCTTATTTTTAGATTTCCAATAAAGTATAATATTCGGAAAAAAAGATCTGGGTATACTTTTAGTTTTTCTTTGTCATCAATTGCATGATGCAAATAATAATCGATACATTTTAGCGGAGACGTCATTCTTGTGCAAGTAAATAATACTTTCGAATAATGAGCAGGAATAGCAGTTATAACAGCGTCCTTCAATATCGAAGATTCGTTTCTTAGCCTTCTTAATTGAGTATGCGCTTTGCCTATCAAAAAAGAAAAAAATTACATGCTAAAATGCGATATACAGGTTTGATTTTAATTAATATAGTCGAATAATTAAATTAAAATTATATAAAGTAATTTATTAAAATTATTTATTAATATGTAATATATAAAATAATTAAAATAACGTTTTATTTAAAGATCAATTAAAAAATGACTCGATATAAAATTATATAAAGTTATATAAAAATTATATAAAATTATATAAAGTAATTTTTTAAAATTATTTATTAATATGTAATATATAAAATAATTAAAATCATGTTTCATTTAAAAGTCAATTGAAAAATGACCCTAATTAAAATTCAAAATTATCAACTTTTATTTCTCCATCGAAACTTTTCAACTTTTGTATGAAATATTTTCTCGTTATAACCAAAGTTTCAAAATTAATCAATATAATCAAATATCTCTAAAATTATGATTGTAACAAAAAATATTCCATACAAAAGTTGTTTGATTTTGAGGGGAAAAATAAGCACAGTTTCAGAAATATTCTATTATATTAATTAAAATAAAACACCTTCTGTATTTTGTCAGTTATATACCGATATTTAAGGTGACTAGAATCTCTTCCTGTTGCTTCTCCGACGTTTCTATGTACACCGTTTCTCCGCCTACGTCAGCCACTACAGCAGCAGTTTGATGCCCGGGTAAGAAAGCTTTGCTGATCTTGTTCACCTTCTTCTGATTCGGCAATGCGGCTGGTTTGTGAAACATTTGAACAACCTCGCGGGCCTGTTTCCCCAGATAAAACCTCGCGGTGACGTCGTCCAGGCAAATCGCAAATAACGACACACACGTCAGATCGCGGATATTTTCCAGCGCGGAGAACGATATGATCTCTTCGACGACGGACGCTTGCAACAACGTTAAATTCAACTAAAAACAATAATAAAAATTAATCAAAAATGAATAAAAATTAAATTTATTATTAAATATTATTAATATCAATATAAATATTATTTTAAATATAAATAAAAATATAAATATTAATAATATGAAAAAATATAAATATTATAAATATTATTATTAATATTAATATTAAAACGTATAATTAAAGAACACAAAAATTTGTGGAGGCTTTTTTACAGTTTCTGTAAAATTATTATGTACCTTTGGTAAAATAATACTGCCTTGTACTTGTGTCGTGATACTTTCTTCATAAACGTTCGTCTGTAACGCGATTTTACCTGTTGATAAAAAAATTAATCTATATAAATATCCATTGCAGGCAGCAGGATAACAAAATGTCATCTTAAAAACTAACATTTGTCATCACCTTGATCGCTTTTGAGATTTCTTTCCGCTGTCGATCGCTTTGAACTGGTTTGGACTTGACTCCAATACGACAAACGCTGATCTTGCTTTAAAATATTCGCATCCTCAACCTTGCCTATGCATTCATTATGAAGGTGATTCAAGATCGTTAATGGATGCAGACTAGCCAGGGTCGGTATAATACTGTCGATGAAACGCTGAAGCGATTCTAGAACCATGGGGCTCAACATGATATCGACGTCTCCTTTAAATTTCACGATGACAGTTGTACGCAATCCAGTTTCGTGCAGTATCGCCAATAATTCCTCCTCATTATGCATCGCACTGTTCTCTTCGCCTGCGTAAAAAAAATATCTAGTTTTTCTGATGATCTCAACTCATACTTTTATACATAAAATAATGAGAGAAATAAATTAGTGTAAAAAAAACAAATGACCTTTAAATAATCTTCAAATGACCTTGAAAAATTCCCTTTAGAAAAAAGTCAGTAGCGACTATTCGAATATATGTATAATTTTCTATCGTAATTTACGTATATATTTTATAATTTTCTATTTTAAATTATGTATAATATTTTCTCCATAATTAATACAGTACCTTCTGTTCGGTTCAAAGATATGTCGTCCCACAAGTAAGGATGCGTAGGTGTTTTGTTGGACGAGCCCGCGACAGGCGAGCCATCGGAACGTGTTATCATCTTCAACGATGTGAAACCCTCGGTGACGGTCTCCAATTTCGGCACGTATCGTCCACCGACGTAAACCAATCTGCCGTCCTCCGTGCGTTGGAATACAGGAGTGGTGAACGCGTCGCCACCCGCCGGTAGCGAGGATTGATTCCAATTTGTACAACGAACCTAATCAAATTTGTTTCATGTTTTAATTTTATGTAGATTATATATGTATAAGGTGTCCCATTTTAATCGATCATTCCCACAAATTTTTTAAAAGGGGACAGAAGATGGCGCTACTGACTTTTTTCTAAAGGGTGCTTTTCAAAATCATTTGAAGATCATTTGTTGTCTTCACGTCAATTGATTTCTGTTATTATTTTGTGTATGAAAGTATAAGATAAGATCATCAGAAAATGAATATTTTATAGTTTTTTATATATGTAAAACCTATTTATTTTTTCATCTTATAATTTTTTATGCCGAAAAAATTACGAGGAATCATATTTTAATTTAAAAAATATGGTTTCAAAAAATATTACATTTAAAAAATGTAAATAACCTTCAAATGACCTTGAAAAGTTGTCCGTCCCCCTTCAAATCAAACAACTTTTATTCTGATTAAAATAGGACATCCTGTATAGCACACATTAATTATATTATTAGAGTATATTCAATGATTAATTATTAAATAAATTTCGCGACATCAGCTACAAACCTGCGTCAGATGACTGACGTAACTCGACATCAGTAACGGCGAGTCCACGATCGGCTTATTCACTTGCATGTGCAAGTTCACAAGCGTGACATCCTCTTGGGACGACACGGCGGAAATGAAACTGGTGGACGATATCGAGTGGCTGTCCGAGGAATCCTGCATCCCGCGACCGTTTTCCACTTGATCAGCCTCATTTTGAAAACTAGTGTTCCTGTTGATCCTGGGGCTTCTCTTCGTGCTCAGTATCTGCGTCTTTGCTCTCTCCAACGTATGCGCTTTGTCCGTCACCGCGTGATTCACGTTGGTCGAGCTCTCGACGATAGACAGATCCGACGAGAATTTCTTCTTCATGCTATCGTTGCGATTCAAGACGCAACCGGAACCGACGATCGACTGCCGCAAGCTAGACGTTCGACTACCGCTCAATCCGTGGCTCACATCCTCGTCGGCCGAGTAAAACGCTTCCGAGTGATTCTCCGAAGACATGGAAATCGTTCGTTGTACCTTTCAGAAATATAAATCCAATTAATAATGAAGCACAGTATTTAAAGTTCCTCACCGCGACCATGTTAGATTGTGACGTCAGAGGCAAGAAAACACGTTTAATAATTCTTAGATGTCAAGTAAAAAGATATTTCGATGGACCAGTACTTCAGATAGCTTTAGCACTCTTAAATGCGAAAACTATTTTTTTTCCTAAAAATTTTCAGCGTGTGCTCTTTCGCCTCTGACGAAGACTATTATTATTCTTTTTATTATTATTATTTTTCCTATTATTATTATTATTATTATTATTCCTATTCTTATTATTTTTCCTGTTATTAGTGTATTCTTCCTATTATTATTATTATTATTATTATTATTCCTATTATTATTATTATTCGTATTATTATTCTTCCTATTATTACTTTTCCTATTATTATTATTCCTATTATTTTTTTCCTATTATTATTATTCTTTTTCCTATTATAATATTATTTTTCTTCCTATTATTATTATTATTACCATTATTATTATTATTATTATTATTATTATTATTATTATTATTATTATTATTATTACAATCTAACATGGTCGAGGATTCAGGATCCTTAAAAATCTCGCGTTTATCTCTTTACCTCCTGTTTCAGTCGCTCTTCCGAGTTTGTTCTCGCATACAACGAGTGATGAGAATCCGATACGTTCACTCCTTCGCGTTGTTCGTCCTTTCTCATCGAGGATGCAGGTGCGGAGATGTTGAATTCGGTCGGAACCACCGGTAAAGATTGCGGGCTGCTCGCAGATTCGAACGTCTCCACATTTTCCGACGCGGTGAAGTAATCCACAGCCAATTTGGAATCGGACACGCTGCTCTTTGGCGCAGTTTCGATCTCCGGGACGTTTAGGATGGATTTACTCCGTTCTACATTTAGTTTAGAATCGGAATCCAGTTTCTGAGGTAGCTGCGTTATAGGACTAGCGTCGATCAAACGAGAATATGGTACATCTTTCACATTTGGCCCTCTGCAACACCGAAAAGAATTAATTACACATCAGGATTAAAAAATAATTAAATGAAATCATATGATACCAGAAAGAGAACAAAATATATAATTGTATGTTCAGAAATGTTTTAAGTAATTAAAAATATGCTGAAGATTACCGCATTGATGTGTAAGAAAATCTTCTGTCCAGCGGCTTCCTGTCGTTACTAGATATCAACGGGCTCGCAACGTTTAACTTTGTACTAGTATTTTCTTCCTTATTATGATCGGTTACAGACTTGGGACGCTCGACACCCTTCTTCGTTTGCGAACTATCTTGATTGAGCGTTACTTTTAATCCTGCCGTAGCAGGATGAGATACGTCTTGTAAAGATATATCTTGCAAACTGTATGGCGGTGTATGAAATATCAATTGTCCATCATGTAAGATGGATTGCCCGAATCCTTTCTCTTTGCCAGGTTCGTAAATCCTGCAATAAAAATATTTTATATAAATTACATATTTTTTATTTATATAGGATATATTATAGGAATTATATTTTTATAGAATTAAGGATAGGATTAATTATAGGACAGAAGAGATAGATAAAGAATATAGAGAGAGATATATATATAGAGATATAGATATATAGAGACATATACATATATAGATATAATATATAAATATATTAATATAAATAATATACATATATATATATATATATAATATATAAATATATTAATATAAATAATTTATATTTATAAATAATTAAATTGAGAATATTCCATTATTCATTAAATTCCAGAAGTTTATGCTACAACGAGAAGAAGCGAATATCCACCTGTAGGCTGCGATGTTGATACCATCCTGAAGATCGTGATAGCTCGGCTTGAAGAACCTCGGTCCGTTTCGATTATTACCGAAAAATACGCAGCCACCTATGCAGCCGCACTTTGTCGCCTTCACCCCGCTCTCCTGCGGCCACAAGAACCACAAACGTTTCGTCGTCTCGTCATGCATCTTCAGATATTTATTTTGTACTAAATGCAAGTTGTGCTCTGGAGCTGGAAGGGAAATCGCGGCTTCCAAAATCACCGGACCCAGAGATATCGAGCCTACCTCGAGCCATATATCCGATCCGTCACCTGTAATTACATGCGTATGAAGAAAAAAATATATATATATAATAATAAAATATATATAATGTAAATAAATATAAATAAATATAATATATATATATATATATATATATATATATATATATATATATATATAATATAATATGTATATTAAATTTTTTATCAATTAAAAAAAAAGATTCATTCACGTTTATAGTATTTACACATAATTTGGATTCATGATTCGCAGATACATACGAAAAATACCTGACATCCGGCTGCTTGCGTTATTGTGGGACCTTCCGCTGCCAGTTGTATTGGTGTTGCTTGTGTTTGCGAAGTAATCCGCCGCGGATACAAACTGCCGAATCGATATTGTGGGTAGAACAGCGGTGACGCCCGATTTCACTTGGTGTCCGTGAAGATTGCAAGTGGAAACGCGAATCGGGGATACCCAAAATTGTACAGCGGTACCTGCTTCTTGCAGATACAGATCAACGGCGTCTATGGATATCCTCGTCATTCGATACTTTATATCCTCAGAACTCGGGCATCTAAACACGTTGCAAAATATTTTAATTCATTGAAAATGTTATTAAATATTAACAAATATTCAAATAAATAATAAGAGAAAAATTCTTGATAAAGAACCCCAAATACATAGAATTTTGGCTTTGGATAGAATCGACTGTTTTTTTCCACTTGCTGAACAAAAGATGTAACAGCTTCAAAGCTAAATATTCGATAGTTACTACTGAGTTATAGTCAATCAAACAAGTCACACAGTCCTAATTTTTCGTGTTTGACTGAACTATCTATTATTTAACTTTGAGCCTATTACATTTTTTGTTCAGCAAATCATAAGTTACAATATGAGAAAATCAGCTGATTTTGCTAGAATTCAATTTCTAGGATTCTAGGATTTTATATAAGAAAACCCTGCACTATTTAATCATATAAAATTAAATTTTGGTAAGATTAGTTGGTTTTCTTATATGTTGTAGACCTTATGATCCTTTGTTCAGCAGGACATAAGCTACAACATATGAAAAAAAACAGCCAAAATCGTGTATTTGGTGTCCTTTCATTATACAGGCTTGTTCCATTTTCATTAATATGATTGAACTATTAATTAAAATAAAACACCCTGCATACTAAAGATAAAGAAAATCCTATATATTTAGTGCAGAGTCCTTTCATTATAAAGGTTTGTTTCATTTTAATGAATATAATTAAATATGATTGTAAAATATTCGACTATTAATTAAAATAAAACATCCTGCATACTAAAAATAAAGAAAACATATCATATACCTATAATGTTTATCAACATCGCTTTCTGGACATTGCAGCGGAGGGAGACCATGATGACATTGAAACGGTAAATTGGGTGGACGTAGACTGTTTTCAGTATTTTTCGCCATCAACAAGAAGGTCTCCAACGACGTAACAAAGTGATGCAGCTGTGGGGAGGTGATCTTTCCGCTCAGTTTGCCCAATTGCACCTCAATCAGCCACGCGTACTCCAACGTCTCCTGATCCAGGCTCCGTCCCTCATTGCTGAACATAGCGTGTCCTCTAACTTGCAGCGCACTCAGCATCAAATGCCCCTGATTCAAATGACGCTCTTTATTCGACCTCACCACGTTATCCGTAAGCAGAGCAATAGCAGGAGAGAGCAACAACTGCAGCTGCGTCTCCTTGTAGCTCTTCCTCATCTCAAACCCGAAGCGTTCCAGAATGATAATCGGACAGGACGGGTCGTCCTCGTTGCAATTCTTGATCAGATGTGCCTGAATGTCGTGCATGGTGACACCGACGGTCACCTCCAGGGGTCTGTAATCCCTAGGATCAAACGGTTTGGACTTGATCTCTTCATCCTCCATGGACACCTCAACGCTGCTGTTTTGCACGTCCTTGTCCTTGCTCCTTTCCGCGTTGATCGGCGTCGAGCTCGCTCTGCTCTGTTGCATGTCGGTGAACGTTTGATAATCCCCGAATATGTTCTCCTTCAGGTGCATGAAGTTCTTCAGCAGCGAGCCGTAGAGAATCAGCACGGACGGCCCAATTTCAAGCTCCAAACTGACTTTGTCAGGTGCTATGGATTGCGGGTCGAACTTCTGCGCCCCGCTTCTCGCCCACTGCAAGCCCGGTGATTTCCTACATTTGGGAATTCGCATGGGAGACAGAAGGATCTCCTCCTTCTCCGGAGTGGTGATATTCGCTTGCGGAGTGGGACCCAGAGGTGGACACAAGTGATACGTATAGTTGATACTCAGCGCTACAATTGGTACAGACCAGCAATCGACCCAGCCTGATTCCTTCTGGCAGAAGTTCCTCCACTTCTTGCCTCTGTTCAACTCGTGCAAGTGCTTGTGAGACCCGTCGCGCGTCATGATCTTCGCATTCTTATCCAACGCTAGTAAAATAATACGATTGGTGTTGACCTCCGGTAAATAAAAGGAGAGATCAACGCTCTCGCCTTGGATCCAGAAACGCAGTGGTATTGTAACAGGTAGGAAGTCCACAAACGGAAGATCAAACGACAGATCGAAGCACTCCCCGCAGAAGGCGATGTGCGCGTTCTCCTGGTTCTGGGACGAGCAGTCGATCCAGTTGTACTCGTTGCAGATCGTGATCAGTTCGAATTCCTTCAAGAGTAAACTAAATTTCCAGGTGTATGGGACGAAGTGTAGGATGTCGGGCCTTGCTTTGCTCGCCCAGTCGTTGATCATATCCTGAAAGAAGTCTTTGTGCAGGTAGACCAAATTAGCAGTAGCCTTGCATCCGGTTAAATTCAGCGTCCACTCTTGATGATCGTTCCATCTGATGGGATAATGACACTTAACTCCAAATTCCAGGGTCTCGCTCTCGACCAGACTGCGATACTGCAGACTAGTCGTGGCCTCCAGGTGCAGAAGCTGACCCGTTATCTTCGTTGTGTAACCATCCTGTAATACTATCCAGGGCATTGTAATTTCCAAGTACGAGCCTGGCCCTACATTCACATGAACAGCATTGGTCTCTCTGTTTTTACTGAAGAGTACATCGATGGTCGCTTCATTCAGCGTCGACAATCTGATATCAAACGACTGAACCTGTCTCTTGTCCCCTGGTTTGGGTGATTTGGTGATCTTCAATGGTTGGTAATTATTGGGAAAGAAGAATTTGAATAAATGCTCTCGCTGCCTGTCGGCCCATGGACCGTAACTGAAGTCAGTACCCTTTCCGCACTTGATGTCGATGCCCCAGATCGGAGGCATCGCCTCAACCATGTCCCCGTTCACCAGTCGTATCATTTCGGGATGTTCCGGTACGACGCCCGGCTCGTCCATATAATAATAAACCTCTATATTATTCGAACTTAGAATCACGAAACCCTCTCCCATGTATCTGGGCGGATCGTCAACCATCCCGGTGTACTTCGGGCTCGGGGCCAAAATCACTTTGAAGTTCTCCGCCTTACACTTGGTGAAGTGCATGAAATGATCGTGCCTGGACGCCGTTGGTTTTGTGGAATATACAAAATGCGCCTCCTCCACAGTTATGGAGAGCGTAGTGGGTACCAGGCGATTACCAAATACCAGCCTTCCCTAGAGAAATGCAAATAGTATTTTTAAAAACTTTCCTTGTCGTCAGAAGTGCGTGTTAAAATGGAAATACAGGGTGTCCCATAGGAAATTGCTTAAACTAATCAGCTCAATAAAATAAACTAATATATATATATATATATATATATATATAATACAAACATTTAATTTATACCCATTAAAAACTGCAGACTTTCCTCTTTCCAACACAATTTTTGTTTTCTCAATAAGCGCATGCATTAAAAAATGACAGCTGATTAGTTTCAACAATTTCCTATGGGACACCCTGTACAAAATGTAAAATAGCTATTTTGCATTTAAAATACACTTTTTCAAAAACTATTTTACATTTCCATTTAAATAGTTTCTTTTGTTATTACATTTCGTATTTCAACATCCATTTTACACATTCCTGTCATGAATAGCAGAATTTAGATCAAAATAGAAAAAATATTACTAACTGTGCAAATGTCTAGTTTGATAACTGGTATCAGATCTCTCCAAGTACGAGCGATCACATGAGCCTCCTTTTTTCTGATGTTATCTACATGACGAGATACATCGATTGCATTGATTTGTGAATGACGAGTTTCGTTGGCTGCATTATTTATAGATTCCCCATCTTGATCGTCCATATTTACATTATGATCCTCTTCATCGGGAAACATTTGTGGCGAAAGACCAAAAGATTTTTCCAATTGTGTGTAAAGTTGACAGCGATTGTACACATGTAACTCAAAACCATTTAGCATAACCGATAATCGTGTATCAGAGTGTGAAAGATCTACAATTATAAGAAAATTTAATTATATTATTTTGTCATAAGATTTATTATATGAAATATGGAAAGAAAAAGTGTTTTATACCTTCCGATACGTCTTTGGGAACGTAGCTTCTCCACCATCTGAATATAAGCCAGCCATCCTGGATTCTAAAGCTATAATCCATTGTAATGTAATCAATGTCCCTGAACATTATTTTTCCACTTAATGCACTTAGTGTGAAGGAACCTGCAAAGTAAAAATAAAGTAAATACTTTGATACGAATGATCCAACACAACAATTGTGTCCTTACCAACTTTAACGTATCCATCTCTAATGACAAATCGATTTAATAATTTTGTTAAAATATAACCAGCCACTCTGCTATTATAATAAGCAATATAAACAATCCAAGATATGGCGGATACTAATGAACACAGCAACCATATGAAGTTGCTGTCCATTTTAAGGTCATCCAGGATGACATGACTGGAAATATTCCAGACAGTCTTGGCTGCCTCTTGAGAGAAAGATGAGATTGTAGCATTGTATCCTTCGATTTCCCCCATGATGGTGTTGTTTCCCTCCGCCAGTTAAATCAAGAATTGTTGCTCATATCAATTTATGTATTTTTTTCTAAAATAACAAAACAAGATTTGTCACAACTATATAAATATGTAATATAAATATATATGCAAATTATATATGTGTTCAATTGCTAAGTTTTATACAATCATTAATATAATAAATGAGTATAAAACAAATAAAATTAATATGATAAATATAAATTAACTACAAATATTATAATAATAATATAAATTAAATACAAAAATTTTAATTTAATCTTCTTTATTTAATATGTATTTATTCAATTTATTTTTATCGAAAGGTTGCAATTATTATATATTAATATACATTTTTTTAATCTCTTTGTTTCGAATTTGCCTAAATTATGAACATAATCTTTACATTTGTAACAATGTATAAAAAAATTAATTATTTTGTAATTAATAAAGTTTGGCATATAAAAGTAGCCAAAATTTATGTATAAACATACGCAATAAATAACTGTGATAAATATATATTAAATCGTACTGAAGCAACTATTTATTCATACAACAAAGACGCGATCTAGAATTTTGTATCTTTTAAAAAATAATTCGTCGCAAATAGTAAAACTCTCTCTACGTGCAAGAAAAATATCTATAAGGACATTTCAATTCGATGATTCACCTTTATTAATCACTCGGATATAAAGTGCATCGAAACGTCGACGTGCGAGATCTCTTCTTCATGTTTTTATGTTTATCATTTTGCAGCGACCCGAAAATATATCAGAATTGTCATCGATGAATAGGAACGAATAGTGATAACGCATAACCACTGACATTTTATATCATGGATAAAATAGGAAACCTAGATAAGGTAGCTGGATATTTTAGGTTAGGGTTAGGTTAAGTTAATTAGGTTAGGTTAGAAGTGCCGTGATTGGTTGTCGACTAGGGAATTTTTTAAGTCCCCAAAATTTCTCCATTGACAGCCAATCACGTAATACGTCAGTAGAAACAGCTGATGTCCAGCTGTGACGTCATTTGCTCAAGAAAGCTCGCATGGGAAGAGATCCCACTGGAGTAAATTATTTTTAAACAAATGTCACCTATGTATATTTATTGCTGAAAAATATGCAAAGTGTTTTGAATCTCATTTGAATATTTATATTGACTTCATAGTTGAAGAGGTGATGTAATGTGAAGCGTAAAATATTTAATTATTCGTTGTTGTATATTCTATTATTTACATTATTTTTTATTTTATATTATTTTTTTATGCTTATGTAAATGTTTATATACTTCTAATATTGTTGCAGGTTTATTATTACATTTGTATATGTATACATATACAATTTGCGATAAATTCTTAAGAACTGTCAGAATGATGCGCTTAGGTCTGGTCAGAAGTCCAATATTAATGGGATTATTTCCATTTTTTGATAATAATGAAAATTTTGATAAACCTGTGAATAATGTAATAAAACCACTGGATGATCAATTGGGTTGGGATAGAGTGAAAAATATATTTCATCGAAAGTATTTATCTACTTTATTATTGAATGAATTATATATAATAATTATATATAAGAAATTATATATATACAATTGTTTACTTGTATTTGTTTTATTTTTACTTATATACAGATCGAATTTATGTTGCACAATTGTTAGAAGTAATTTGATTTTACAGCCAAGATGGTTACTTGACAAAGGAATTAACATCTATCGTAAATATAACACTATCGGGTGGTGTAATTGGTGTAGTCTTGGGTGGCATGAGTGCAACTAAGAATACTGTGGACAATTTTATCTCAAGTAATGAAGCAACAAGGTTTATAAGTCATTTTGATGCAAAGTGGCATCTTCAACAATCAGTTACTCAAAGTTTTATAAAAAAGGGTGGCAGAATGGGAGCAAAACTTGCGCTATTTTGTTTTTTATTTAGGTAAGCACACATCTCTATGGTCTCTATGTAAAATTTGTAGGAATATTGTATATACTATAAATTGTAGATATATTCTTTTACAGTACTATAACAACAAGTGCAACGGCGTATCGAGGAAAATTAACAGTAGGCAATTATATGTTAGGCGGTTCTGTAACAGGATTACTATTTAAAATAAATTTAGGATTGCGAGGAGCGTGCGTTGGAATGGGACTTGGTGGTATATTAGGTGGAATATGCGGCGGTGTATCAGTTTTTATTCTTAAACTGTCAGGAGTAACTATAGATGAAGTACTAGAAGCACAATATCAATGGGTAAATTCAAGAGATGAGTAAGTATCAAAAAATATCACTTTTTTTGTAATTTAAATTTATTTTTTTCTATAAAGAAATTTTATAATATATATAATTCATTATTTTGTTACAATGTTATATAGAAATTATAAGATGTATCTAGGTATCGATTCTATAACTTTTTCACATTTCACGTTTTCACTTTAGAAAAAGTTACAGAATCGATAACCTGTTTTTATTATCTATTTACCATTATACTCCTGATATTAGTATTGATATTTCATGTATTCAATAATCACAGGACTCTACAGAAGAAGATAAAAGAATGTATGGCTACTGAATTACCAGAAGTGAAACAATTATATCAACAAAATCAACAAATGCGCACAGTTCAAGAAAAAGTGACTGTTGAAGATCATAAGACATGAACTTATTATGTAAATAAATCTTGTACATAGATATATGTGTGTTTATTATATTCATCTATAAATCTTTTACATTTATATTACCTACGTTTATTATTTGTCTATTAATAATTAGTACAAATTTTGAAAGATGACAAAATGATTTAAAATTATTCCTTAAATACATGTACAAATTTTACAAATAATTTATCATAGTAAGTGCAAAATTCGATGCATTTTTATATATCATGTAAAAATTTAAACAATAGAATAAATAATTATATACTTTTTCAGAATATTTACAGAACAAATCAAAATATAAATTGTGCTTAAAAATTTAAAGTTTGATAAAATTTTTTATATCATGTAAAAATTAAAATAGAAATTAAACGATAGAATAAATAATATATATTTTTTAATATATTTACAGAATAAGCCAAATATAAATTGTTTGCTTAAACATATTTATAAAAAATACTAATACTCTTCATTGAAAATAAATGAAAAGATATGCATATTTCAATGATAATAGATGTGCAACAAGAAAGTACATTAGAAAAAATATTCTAATACCATCCTGTTTTTATCCTGATATTAATTTCAAATTTTAATTTAATTATTTAATTTGTTTGATCAGAAGATGCTAATTCTTGGACTTTGGTTATACGCTTAGCACCTCTGTTCGGTGGACCCTTGGGTTTAGCAAATTTTGGTTGATGCAAACTAATTTTTGGATGCAATTCCTCTTGAAAAAATTCTTCGGTAAGTTCCTTTCCGTCAGTTATTTCAAGCTATATAATTTAATACACGATTTAATAAGAAAAAAAAACAATAACTGTATATATAAGAAATTACATGTACACACAATGTACACATTTTTGCAAATATATATCCCAATTTGCAAAAAAAAATGTTCATATGACATTGTGTGTGCATATAGATAGAAAAATTTGTAAATTAATTGAAGCTATAGGTCATATATGGCAGGCCTATTCTGTAAATTCTATAAGAAACATGCTTTCAAACTTGAAAAGTAATCACATACCCATTTAAGGATCCATTTATCATGAAAAGAATCTTTTCTTTGTTAATTGCAAATACATATACGTACCTAAAAAGGTCCTTAGCAAATTAGATTGTATGCACCTGGTATAAATATGCATGATACTGAATATGATATAAAAAAAGAAACACCAAATTGTAAGTTTAAATTGCATAATGCTTTATTATTTCCAGTATATTTGATATTGACAAGATATACAATTTCTTTGAATGAATCTATATAACCATATAATTGAAGAAGAAAAATATCAGAGTTAAAATAAAGTTAAACAATTACAGAATAGGCCTGATATGATTACTTAATTAAAACATGCTAGATAACACTGTGCGTCATAATCTTGTAAAATAGAACACCGTAACTAGATTATTTTTTTTAACATAGTATTAACTAGATCTATAGCAAATATGTGAGTCAAATATCACTTTATTTCCTCTTCCAGCTTTATAGATAAACTGTTATAAATAGAATTCTTCATAACTTTTATAATTTATAAATTTCTCTAAAATCAGAAGAAACATTATTTATTTATACAATATAAGAAACTTAACTGTGCAAGGAAGAGAAAAAATTACAAGAATCTAACTCACAAATTATCTTCACAGCGCAAGAGTAGACCTACCAATTTCTCATTTTCTTTCTATTTTATACTAAAATATTTGAAGTTTTTTTTTATAAAAAGCTACGGGTATTAAAAAAATACAGATTACAAAAAATAGAATGCCTCTTGTATATTTTGTTACTGGTTATCAAATTTTAGTCCTATCTGCTGTAAATTGCATAAACCCACTTAAAAATGTTTAAGAAAATTCTTTTTGAAGGCATAGAGATGTATTTAAAAATAAAATAAATACATTAAATGTGTAAGAATTTTTGATATAATGCGACTTTTTGCGAAAATTCAAAAATAAAAGAATAATTTTAAACTAATCTTGCAAAAAAAGTTATGTAAATGTTTAACAGCTGATAGGACTCGCCTCAAATCAGTCTTATTTCATACGTATTTATATAGAATCTAATATTTTTGTAGCATTTACAATATATATAGAACATGATATAAAATTTTATATGTAGAATAACTAGAGTGTTATTAATTATTTTATAGCTGAAATATATATATATATATATAATATATAGTGCAAAAAAAATATATTCATGTTAATATGGTGCTCGCGTATTTATCACTGTCCGCTACATTATCATCATATTGAAAATACGTATATATGTGTAGAGAAGTTAGGTGAATGGCTTTAGCTCTTTATCTATCTCTTCTTTCTCTTTATCTCTATCTAGAGCAAATATGGAATTTTTCCTAACTCTCTGTCCATCACATATTATATGCAAATTACTACATATCGATATTAAAAATATTGCATTACTAAATTTTATATATATATGACTATTTGAATGAGCTTAAAAGCCAAGCCTTCGAAATCTACTTAAAGAATACTTAAAATAGGATACATATCACTTTTTATAAGGAATTAATTATAGGAACTAACTATAGGAACTAATTCGGGACTGAATATAATGGAATTTTGTATATTTTGTATATTTTTATGAAGTGTGTGTATGTGTGTGTATACATGTGTGTGTGTGTAAACATATACAAGGTGTCCTATTAAATATAAGAATTACAAATGTGTATAAAAAATATATAAAATAAAACATGAGGGAACTATATAAATGGAATGTTTTGATTACATTCTCTATATAAAATTAAATTACACTCACATTTCATTTATCACATACATATAATGCTTATATGTCAACTATAAAAATCCAAATAAAAATGAGGCTTAGCTTTTAATGTCAAACAAAGTGGATTTCATTCTATTTCAGCACAATATTTCATATAAAACAAAAATAGTATATGTCTTTAAAATAATACGAAATATATAGAGGTTGTATTATATCTCACATTAAGTTATTTTGTAGATATAATGGCGTTTCACAACAAAGAGCCTTTCATATGTCTGACACTTTTGCCTTTATAATTTAGAAAAATACATTATTTAGTTCATTCTGTTTTCATTAAATAGATATTTACGTTTTACTTTGACACATAAATTAATTCTAAATGTTGATTAACAACATTGAGATTAATATTCTTTTCTATAATACGCGCTTTCTTTCTACTGCCCTTAAATTAATTTGCAATATATATATATATATACATATATGTATAATTATATATAATTGCAATTTTAATTTGTTCTAATATTTGGAAACATTGGAAATCCATCAAATAAATTCTATATCAAATGAGCCATCAATGATGTCATAATATTATACTACTATTCTATTCATGGAAAAGATATTTGATGCGCAAAACATCACAAACATTTTTAATTAGCGGAAGCAATAATAATGACAGAGACAAATACTTTAGGCCAGTTTTAGCTTAAAACACAAGATCGTTTCTGTTTTGATTTTTTCTCGGCTATAAATTGAGTAGGGGCACAAGGTGTTGATGGAGTTGCGGGAGTTATTGCAGCTGTGTCTTTTATGCTTGAAGGATCTTCTAACATATCTGTTAACTCTTCCCCACTATTTACTTCCAACTGGGATTGCATTTATATAATACAGAGATGGCAATTATATATACATACGTTTATATTTGAAAAATATTTCAAATATCAAATAAAAAATAATAGATAAAATAGCAATATTGTTGATATTGTTGATGCAATATTGTTGCATGATTTAGAAAAGCAAGCATTACATAGATCAAGGATATATATTATAATTGTTGAAAATTATTATTATAAGCATGGCACAGTATATAATTTACATTTAAAGCATATTAAATTTTAAGAGATTATAGATTATGTACAGTGTCCCATTTTAATTAATATAGTCGATTATATTAATATATACTCGACTATAACATATTACATATATTATATATAATATGTTAAATATTATTATAATACATTTATATATGTATAATAAATATATAATATATATTATATATAGTATATATAATATATAATATCCTCCTTCCTAATCCCCTGTTAGTTCTAAAGAGATATTTAAATTAAATTAAGAAAAAGAGAGAGAGTATATGATATACATACAGAATATATTATGGTATATTGTATAATGTATTATTATGATATATAAACATACACACTTCCTCAATTTAAAAATGGGATGGAACACATACATATGTGTGTATATGTCATTCATATAAATTTAAGACAATATTGATGTGCATGGTATTTTAACATCAATCTCCAATAAGTTTTTATGCAGCTATTATGTTCTCAATGGATCAATTATAAATATATAAATAAGATAAATTTAAGAATTAACTTCAATATTACATATAACATAAAATTATATCAATATTCGAAAATAAAAACAATTTTACAGGAATTTCTACTGTATACTATATTATACCTGAATATTCAAAATTTATCCAATCTAATTAATCAATTTTAACATCTCTCTCTTTCTTCTTAATACTTTAAACACTTCCTATCAAATACTTTTAAACTTCCTTTTTAGTTTGAGACATTTTCTCTCTATTTCTGTCTCTGTATAAATGTATTATATGTGTGTGTGTGTGTGTGTGTGTGTGTGTGTGTGTGTGGGTGGGGGGGTGTGTGTGGGGGGTGGGTGTGTGTGTGTGTGGGGTGTGTGTATGTACATTTTTGAAATAATAAAGTTTAAAAGTTTGATCAATATTACAAATCTCACAAAAAATTATATATAACTTTTTATGATTTTTATATCAGTTTTAAGCCTCTTATTATTTCAAAAATATATCCATTTAATTGCAATATTATCTTCAAACTAACTTAAACTAGGAACATTGATGAAGAAAGATATTTATATAAAAATGAGACAAAATAAAAATATATACTTGTGTAAAAAATGAGTAAAAACAAAACTAAGATAATAAAATAATTAAAAATAAATTATTGAAAGATTAAATATATACTAACCTTTTTTGCTATAGTTACTCCTAAAGACTGGATAAGATCAAGAAGAGGGGCTTTGCATGATGAATATAACATTCTTTCTTTAATACTGCAACTATATCCCGGCATGCTATATATAAAAACTAAAAAAATAAAATAATAAAATTACTTGTACTATATATTGGTATATACACTTACTATAAACTTACTAAATTATTTATCATTATTTACCTATGCTTTCTGTGTAATCTCCTTCATGAGTATGTTTAAAATTATAAAGATGATATCTAGCAGCATCAGATGGAATTTTAGTTGGTAATTTATCTAATGAAATATCACAAGCCATTACTAAATGTATCTTTTCTTCATCCAATTCAATTTTCAATTGAACATATTCATGAATCCCCTTATTCAATTCTACAATAGCCTGTTTAGCTTCATCCGTTACTGGAAATGCTACGCCGCTCAATGTCTGATGTCTCGTTTCCACGCTGTAATCTGTCGTTGCGGTAGTCTTTTTCAATTCAGCCAACTCCTCCTCGGCTGTTGTCAATGGCACAGGCACCGTATCATTTCTCTTATGCTTATGGTAACCATCCAGTGTGATATCTTCCGGAACAGTGCCATGCAGTTCTTCCTTTATCGAAGATGTGCCAAATTCTTGCTTCAACGTAGCTTTAGTAGATGCATAAAGCATCTTCTGTCTCACCGGTGCGGTATCTGGAGACCAAGATATAAATAACCAATCATAACCAGAATCCGGCGACTTTGTATCCAATCTATAAAGAATATAAGCCGGCTGATTTTCCTCAATTAATGGTTTGATCATTTTATCATAATCATCTTGCCACTTGTGTATTGGCTTAGAACTAGACACCGGAGTTAATTGTTCTGGAAAAGAAAAAATAAATAAATAAATAATTATATATATATATATATAAAAATATATATAAAATATATATTTATATATATATATATATTTAATTTCCAGATCTTAAACTGTAAGACTTTTAAGTAAAATGTTATAAGAGAAATTTTATAGAAATTAAAAGAAACTTAATAGAAATGCAAATTTGCATAATTCAACGACACTTACCATTTTCTATCGAAATTTTTAATACTCGAATTTTTCCGTCACGGCATTTCGTGAACAATTTTTTTAATGCATCGTTGGCTGAAACAAATCAATCTTATCACAAAACGTTGATAACGATGACACACAATTACAAAATATCTTTACACAGACGATCCATTGGAATGAATCTTTGCCATGGAGAAAGGGAGAAAGATGCATTATGTATAATAAAAGGTATATAAATATACTCACCTTTGATTCCTGTCTGATGTGACATTTTGCGAGACAAGTTGCTCTATTGCTGCGTTGAAATATACGTCGATAATTTCCGAGAAATATTTTTTTTCCTGTCTGCCAAAGTTTTCCGAGGAGAAAGTACCACCGAAATTCTTTCCTAAATTAAAACTAGAGACTTTCACAAGAAAGGAAAATATTCATTTCCTTTGTCCATAGAGTACAATTCAACTAGTTTACAAACTGGAAAAATCACGTGACATACCGCCATATTCTCAATAGGGTAAAGCGCCAAATTTCAAAATGTAAATATCGATTAAATTAGAAATAGTAGAAAATATTAATATTTGAAAATTAAACATATTTGCATTTATTAGAAATAAAAGATTTCAATTGTTTAGAGATTTATTTATCATTATATTTATTGTTTATAAAATATATAATAAATAAAATGAATTGTAAAAATAAATATATTAATTACAAATATAAATATAAAATATAAATAAAATATATTATAAAATAAATATAAATAAATTATGAAAATAAATAAATAAAAAATTATAAATAAATTATAGAAATAAATATAAATAAAATAAATTATAAATAAATTATAGAAATAAATATAAATACAATAAATTATAAAAATAAATATCAATAAAAAATTATAAAATAAATATAAATAAATATAAGTAATATAAATAAATAAAATAAATTACAAAGACAAATTTAAATAAAATTAATTATAAAAATAAATACAAATAAAATTATAAAAATTAATATAAATAAATATACAAAAATAAATTATAAATAAATTAAGAATACAAATTTAAATAAAGTAAATTATAAAAATGATAAAACATCAAAATGAATATTCTTGTTTCTTTGCGCAGGGCCTTTAGTGTACTGCGTCTGCTGCGCCTGCGTTATCGCGCATGCGTGGGATTTGTTTCTCGATCTGGGAAACGTCAGACGTAGCCTGACGGCGGATACAGCGAGATCTATACGTCAAAAGGTTTAAGCGGGTCGTAATTTGAAGGAGTTTCCATTTTAACCTCTTCCGAAGCGGAGCTGGATCTGATCGCACGTAACAATTCGACATGTTGGCTCTTATTAATCGGATCTTGGACTGGTTCAAGTCTCTCTTCTGGAAGGAAGAGATGGAACTCACCCTCGTCGGTCTGCAGTACAGTGGCAAAACTACATTCGTGAATGTCATAGCGGTATGTGAGTCATTCGTGATTTCCTTTTATTTGTCATGTCATATTTTTGTTTGGACGTCAAAATACCAGGAATGTTTGTTTACATTCGGTGGCGAGTGAAATTGCTGGAAAATTCAAAAATTCGGAAAGTCGATATCTTGGGGGTTATATTCCCGATAATCCGTTCGGAGTAACTCTCTTTTCGTCGCTCTGATAATGTAAATCGTATACGCCCTGTACTTATGTGATTTAACGTTACGTTCGAAATTATACGATCAGTCATAATTATTAAATTTAATCGATGCTTGTTTGTCATTTCTCTTCCATATTTTTGTACTTTTTTCTACAACGATAATAGATATATGTAAACAATATTTGATGAAAGTTGGTTTTTCTCTGTCTTAAGTATTTAATAAATGGATTTTATATTGCTTATAATTAATTTTCTCTTTTATCGATAAATTAAAAAATTAATTTGCAAACCTTGAATAATTTTATTACGTCAACCAAAATTATGTTAAAAATTATTGCAATTATTGTATTATATTATTAGAATTAATAATAATAATTATATATATATACATATGTTGTTTTCAAGTTTTAACAGCAAACCAAAATAATTCTTCTCTTTTATATATTTAGTCAGGGCAATTTAGCGAAGATATGATACCGACTGTAGGCTTTAATATGCGCAAAATAACCAAAGGCAATGTCACTATAAAAGTGTGGGACATCGGTGGTCAACCAAGGTTTAGATCCATGTGGGAAAGATATTGCAGAGGAGTGAACGCCATAGTTTACATGGTGGATGCAGCTGATTCAGAGAAAATCGAGGCAAGCCGTAATGAATTGCACAATTTATTGGACAAGCCACAATTGTCTGGGATACCAGTATTGGTTTTGGGCAACAAAAGGGATCTACCTCATGCGTTAGATGAGAACGGACTCATAGAAAGAATGTAAGTTGCATATTACAATTTCAATATAGTATAATGTAACATTCTGCAAGTACATATGGATATATATATTTATATGCACATACATGATGACACATATGTTTTAGGAATCTATCTGCGATTCAGGATCGCGAAATTTGTTGCTACAGTATTTCGTGTAAAGAAAAAGACAATATTGATATTACGTTACAGTGGCTCATAGCGCATTCAAAAAGTGGAGTTCGCTAATACTCTTAAAAAATATCCTATTATTTGTTAGTATCGCGACGAATCTTTGATACTGATAATAGTATTGGGATCAAATTGTAAAATGAGCGTATTGGGCAAGTTTTGTTCAAATGTGTCATTATTGTAGAAAATTACTTGAGCTTTAGCTGATCTAAGTTGTGGATGGTGCAGATACCATTAAAATATTAACAAAAGAAAAAAAACGGAAAAAGAAAAAAAAAGAAATCGTGCTTATATGCCAAGAAATATGCTCGTGTGATTTATATCATAAGGCACTCACTTCCCACGAGCACATTAGTTAATAAGGGACAATTTTTTATATTTTCGTTCATAGGTAAGTCCGAGATATATATATATATATATATATATATATATATATATATATATATATATATATATATATATATATATATATATATATCCAATATTAACAGTTAAATCTAATTAGTATTTCTGTATTTTCTATGATTGCTATTGTAAAGCTGAAATAATATCAACATAATTGCAGTTAATTATTGTGATATCATAGTCTAGATGTCGATACTCTGATTTTTCTCTTGTACTCTCAAAAGATACCAAGCACTTCATGTATAAATTAGAGAAATGGTAGCTATTATATGAAATATAATGCGCAAAGATATATCACTATTGATTATTATAAAACTCTAATACACCTCAGAAAACTTTAATAACAAATAAAAACAATATTACTAGTATTGCAAATATTACTTTTGTTCTTTTCTATTTCAAGAGAGTGAGAATCCTAAGTCCGTATTACGTTCTCCTGCATAATTTAGGCAAAATTATTTATAGTAAATTTTAGTAAATTATTTGTGTCAAATATATTTCACAAAACAATTAGTATAGAGAATATAAGTGAAGAGAAAGAATACAATGATATGAAATAATGAACGGCTTACAAGAGAACCTCGCAAATTTTGATACAAAATAAATATAATAAAATTAAATAAAAAATTTGTTTCTCCTACGTATACGTAAAATTTCATCAAAATTAGAAATAAATTTTCGAGATTGCGAGGTTCTAAATAACAGAATGTCTATAAAAGGGGAGAGGAGGTCCTAGGGTTCTTGAGTCTCGATAGGACCTTGATTATTTTTCTGCTCGAAAAAAGCTTTTAGTAGAAGATACTAAAAATTTAAAAAAAAAGAAAAATAACTCTGCTGTAAAATTATCTGAGAATTGAGTAGATTTTATGTACTTTATCAAGATACATCAAAACATATATATTTGCCTATTTTTCATTATTTATTCTATAATTTTTTGTATTCGTTTCTCTTTATCTATCTATAAAGTGTCACAGGCACATAAAAATTTCTAGTCCAGTTTAAATTGCTTAAAACAATATAAGTTTTCAAATAAATCAAGTTGATTGATTTCTTATTTATAAAATTATGTCAATAAGAGTCATTTTGTGTGTGCATTAAACCATTTTAATATTATTATATATTTATACGATATTATATAGAATTGATTTCAAAGTATGCATATTTTTTAAGAGACAGGAACAGTGAACTGCATATATATAAAAATAGTAAACAATAAACAAAAGGGGAGAGCTTTTTAAATCCAAATTGCTGAAACTTCAGCTATATTGAACTTCTTTATATGGCGATACAATATTTCATTTTCTAACGGTGTTCGTTACAGCCAACTTTTGTTATATTTTATTAACTACACCTGTGGACTCACTCTTAATAAAGTATAGCCACACAATTATATATATATATAAGTTCCTGTAAAAGATCCGTTAAATATTACAACAAAAAAACAACTCGCTTTTCCCTCAAGGTCTCGTCATACATGTACATTGTAAAGATAGAAACGATCTCGTGTCTTCTATTTCGTAATGCATATGTTATGATACAAAATTATGGATGGAATCATCATATATACTTTTCCATCTATCAGAGACAGAAAATATGCTCATGTATACGTACGATAGTCATGATGAAAATTCGAAGCTCAAGTATTATAGTACAATAGAGTACACAAATGGAGAATTTCATAAAATGTATAGGGGGGAAGGGAAGAGAATGTTAGAAAAATAAATAAATGTGAAAATATATTAGGGTGATATTCTCTTTATGGAAGTTGAAAATAATTTTATCAAATTCTCGAATAATAATTACTGACACATTTCTTTCAGAATTTATATACGCAGAATACCACAAGCAGGAAATATTTGAAAAAATATAAACTTTCTTGATTTAAAAAATATCAATATTCATAAAAACTGAAGACACAATTCTAAGTTTAAATTATAGCTAATCAGAAAAAATTATACATGTAAGATACGTAAAAACATAATAATATAAAAAATGAACAATATAGATTTTATTTAATTTCATTCAAATAGACTTTACCTCTCAAAATTTTAAAACTTAACACTTAATCACACAATATTTAATAAACTAAATTCTGTTGCGATAAGTTAGCTCATATAATTTTCACTTATAATTAATAATTGGTTTTAAAGCTTGTACCTTTCAAATGCTTTCCAGATGTTGGTATCCTGTATATTTATAATCTGTCTTTATATCAATTATATCTGTTTTTATATCAGCTTTACAAATTAACTCATTAAAGTCCAGTTAAAGTTAGTTTTAATTATTGCAGAGCTTGGTATTGGATAAAAAGATAACAATTGTTGTTATATTTAACAGTTGTTATATTTATTTAAAATTTTTTAAAATTTGTGTAATTCCTATGTATCTCTAAAAAAATTGTATATTTTATTTTAAATTATATCTTATGAATTGTGACATAAGAAAATTTCATTAAGAATTTTTGCACTAAAATAATGGGCTTAAATGAGTTAATCTTTCGAACATTTATTCGTAATTTCCTGCGCGCGTTTAATTATTGTATTATATTTGAATATCCATAAAATACAGTATATATATACGCATCTATATGCATATATGTATATATGCATTTATTATAAACTATATCTACATATATATGCATACATGCTATTTATTTACATAAATTTGAAAAGACGATACTATATGTTTCCTTTCCTATTTTTTTTTCCTTTGAAAAAAGCGATAAAACTTCGAATTCAATTATACATGCATATCGAATAATAATATTTTACAATTGTAAGTCTATATTTGTTATGTTATATTTGCATGAATAAGATACACTTTTTTTTATATCTGACTTTGTATATAATAATGCTATCATTAATAATATCGCAAAATTTATCAATTTTGATCTTTTTTTTATCTTTATTCAATCTACATCGTGTTTTATCCGTACTTCGTATACATTTACACGAAGATATATTGCTGCATGATTAATAAGCGATATAATAAGTCGATGATAAAGATTCTATTAATATAATCTCTTTTGTTGCGCGTTATATCCTCTCCGAACAAAACGATTAAAAATTTGTTAATTTAAGTATTATTATTTATAGGGCGTCCACAATATTGGAGATGATAAAAGTGGTTGCGTAGTAATTTTTATCTTTTTTTAGTGAACCCTGGATTCAAGTTTTCCTCGATAAAAATTTCGAAGAAAATTATTACTCGCTGTTTTGTCGTATTTACTAAGAAAATAATCGACATATTTTATAAGAAATTACACGCTACGTGTCCATTTTTTCCAACACTAGAATACATTTTTATATATATATGTATACTTAATCTTATATTAATCATTGCACAGAATTATCTTCCTATTTTTACACAAAGTAATACAACTCCATATTTAAAATTCGATTTTAACAATAGCACATTATAAATAATTCTATTTTGACTAGCTTTATGCATCACTAGACTTCACTCAAGATTCGTATTTATATAAGAAAACTCGCAAAGCTTAGCTCGATCTCGTATTATGTGCATGAGAAATGTTTAAATGTTTGCCACGATTACGGTTTTTTTCTTTTATATAACTTAAACCGATTATCTTTGATACTTTATACATTACTGTGGTATATTTCGTACCATCTTGAAATGTGTATGCATACATATACACATATTATATATATATGTAATATAAATATATATACACATACATACATATACATATGTATACATACATACGTGTGAATATACACATGCACACGCATGTATATTATATTTTATATTATACGCTGCTAAAGGAACTTGTGTTTGGTACGTTGTTTGGTACAAACATTATTTGAAAGTTCCTATTTAAAATATTTCTCGCACTCACACACACGCAAGTACACACATCCTTTCAATTCTTGCCTATATGTGCTCATACGTGCAATTTCCTAATTTTTTTTCTTCATCTATAGATTTTTGACAAGTTTCAGAATACATTTTCTCTCTTTCACAAAATCCTTATGATAGTTTTTATTTTGAACTAAATAATTTAAAACATCAAAACAAACTTCAAAAATAGCATGTAAGAATAAATGTAATCATTCAGTAGAATTTTTATTTAAAGATTAAAAATAATAAAATAAAATTACTACAATTTTTAATATTTTTATATTAATAATTTTTATATATATATATATATATATATATATATATATAATTCATATATAAATATGTATATGCATAATTAATATAATAAAATATTAAGCATTTTAATCTTTAAATCAAAATTAAAGTTGCTAATATATTTATGTTATTAATTAATTTTTATAATTAATAAGAAAAATTACTATATGTTTATATTCTCGAAGATTGCAAAAAATTTTTCGATTTTTAAAAATTATTTATAACTCAAGAATTGAAGATCATCATAAAATTTTTGTGAAGAAAAATACACTGCATAAAATCTATATATGAAAATAATAGAACAAAACTGAGAGAGCATTTTTATATATACATACATGTATAGATGCACACACTTATACATACGTATTTACAGGATATCCCAGAAAAGCGGAAGTTGTTTTAATGAAAGATTCTTTAACTGATTTGGAGTGTCGTTTTTTTTCCTCGAAATGTCAAGTTATTAATAATTTTCAAGTTATGAACGACTGCGAGAATATTTTTAACAAATTAAATTCCAAATGAATAACAAAACTACACATTCCTCATCTAATTTTAAATTTGATTTAAAACTTAATTATAAAAATGTATGTAGTGCAAACATTTGTGAAAGTTGTGACAAATGACATCTACGAGAGGGAAAACTTTTTTCCAAATCGTCAAGGAATCTTTAAAAAATCTTAATGGAAGATCCTGTATATATATGCGAAAATTTCATTGACTTTAATAATGGACTATTAAGGGACTAGGACGTCTGGCCCGAATTTTATAATTATTCTAGAGCTATGTGTCTTTCTCTTCACACGTTAAACTCCTCTTTTTCTTCTGCGACACTAAATCTATTATGCTTTAAATCTGTATGCTTTTTATATATGATCTTTAATGTGTGGCATATTCATGTAATTTTTATTCATTGCAAAATAGGAATTCTAAAATTATTAATAATTTAAAGTATGAATTATGAATTACTTGAGTATAACTTTGTTGAGTATAACTTTAATGAAATTATCATTCATTCCGTTTCGAGATAAAATATTGATATTATTTTAACAAATAAAATATGTTTTAATGTAACTGTTATAATAGTTACATCGTTATATAACAAAAATGTTATATATTAGTTTTTGTGACTCTCTCACATAATAGAATAAAATTAGGAATCTTATAAAACTTGTCTAGAAAATTTTAGAATGGATAAATTGTGTAAATAATAATATATAAGTGCATTCGACTTATTTCTGTGCAAAGAAAAAGAAATCAGATAAAAGCATCGAGTTCTCTGGTAATATGTACAATATGCGTGAATAAAATTATGCAAAATACACGCATACACGCACAACAAACGTACGCACAAACACACATACGCGCACACATACACATAAACGGAATATATAATATCATATATAGAAATTTAAAGATACTGGATGGATACTGTAACACAACTGTGCTAAGTGTATAAGTAAAGAAAGAGTATATAATCCCTATAAAGTGACTATTTCAAATCACTAGATTGTTGTACTGTTTGCACATTTTAAGCAATCTCACATTTTTATTCCATTTACTGAAATTTATTGAGCGCGTTCCAAAATCTCTCGATTATATATATATAATTTATTTAAATATATATATATATATATATATATAATTATATATATTATATATATATATTTATAATATAATATATAATAATAAATACGTAATTATATATAATATATATATATATATATATATATATATAAATATAAGTTTAAAGTGTAAGACAGGCAATAAAAGCCAAATCGCGGATGACAGTGCGTTATCCCAACGAAACTAAAATTTTTCCGTTAGAATTAATTACCTGTGCACAAGGCACCAAATTTTACTTGGTCACGGCCAAGATTTAAAGGATCTGAATAGCTCAGTTAGAAGAGCAGTCGCCCGGCAAGCGAAAGATCTCGGGTTCGTTTCCCGATTCAGCGACTTTCGGATCTATATTTTCCCCTCGCATTTATTTCCTTAGGGGAAAGAGAGAATGTATGGAATTAAATCTCTTGTAGAGATTATTCCAATTTTAAATCTTGGCCGTGACCAAGTAAAATTTGATGCCTTGTGCACAGATAATTAATTCTAACGGAAAAAATTTTAGTTTCGTTGGGATAACGCACTGTCATCCACGATTTGGCTCTTATTGCCTGTCTTACATTTTAAATTTATATTTATATTACAGAGCCTTGTTAAACTCTTAATTTATATATATATATATATATATATATATATATATAATTGATTTATTTGAAAAATTCGCTCAAGAACTTCAGTAGTTAATTAAAGCAGCATTATTAATTAATATGCATTCACAGACAGTTACATTTTCACATACTAAATGAATAACTATCAATATGTTCTCTATCTTTGTAGATATACAGATATGCACTTTCGCAAAAATTTGTATATGTACCCAATGACATGAATCAGAGAAAGATTGCGTATTTCCGTTGCCTCAAGTGAGTATCACATTCTTAGTTGGTTGAGCAGTAAAACCTTCTCAATCCTAACACAAAGTGAGACTATTCGTCATTTTGAATACCAAATCTCACGATTCTCTGCTAGTAACCGTTGGATCTGGTATGGGCCAATAACGACGGCATCTATAATTATACAGAAAAATTTGCATCTATAGATTTACAAAAAAAAGAAGATTACATATAATGTCATTACACATGTTTTTATTTTTCCACGAAGTAATGTAGAATTTAATGCGTCGAACTGGAGAGGAAATAATATATCTTGTGACTACATGGCGATGGGATTAAGTATGTTACAAGTAAATTCGAATTTGTTTGCATGATTTCGAACTCTACGATTTTTATTAAAAAAAAATTAAATAGACTCGAATTAAATGTTGAAATTTGTTATTATTATTACTTTTTAAGAGTATTATTCGAGTTCTCTCTAGAAAATGAAACTTGATTCGATTCGGGTTTCTAATACATTTAACATAGAACTTGATCCCATCTCTAATACATGATGTTCCATTTTAATCGATCACCCTTAAAAACTTTTTCATTTTTAATTGTACAACAAAATGTTTCAAACAAAAGTTGCTTTTGATTTAAAAAGGACCAGAAGATGGTGCTATTAACTTCTTTCTAAAAGGCGCTTTTCAAGGTCATTTGAAGGTCAATTGAATTTTTTAAATAGAACCACTCTATTTTTCTATATATAAATCAATTCCTCGCAATATTCATTGATAAAAAGTTAAACTTTTTATGGTAATATAATCAAAAAATGAATAGATTTTATTTTTGTAAAATTTTTTGGACATCTTATCCTTATAATTTTTTATGCCAAAAATTACGAAGATTTATATAAAACAATTACAGTTCTATTTAAAAAAACACAAATGACCTTCACATGATCTTGAAAAGCGTCCTTCAGAAAAGTCAGTAACATCAGTAGCTCACAATTAAAAATAAAGGTTTTCGAGGATGATTTCGATGAAAAGTAAACATCCTGTACAGACTATATACGGATTACACATTATATAATTGTGATACGATCATACCTAGCATTATTTTCTGCTATATGAGGTGGCAATGATGTAGGCGGGGGTGGTGGCTGACGAGCGGACTTCGGCGGTCCGCTACTGTTAGAATCACTCTCGCTGCTCTCCTCGGACTTTTTGTTCGGCTCCCGCAGAAGGTGCGACGGCACTCCCCTGGGAGATAGTCTCGGCAATATCTCGGATTGCGGTCTAGTTCTATGTTGCGGTCTTTGGAACTGGAGATTCAGCTGACTAGCGTCTGTCACGTACTTTTCATTCTGCCTTCGGCGGCGCAGAGCGGGCGTGCATCCGGTTAAATTTTCATCTTCGGCAGAGCTGGCTGAAGTTAAAGATGATATGATTGGTCTAGCATCAGATAATGGCATGCAAGTGACTAAATGCTGGCGCTTTAGCTCTGATAGCTCGATTTTGCAAACATTAGTATGGCGCGAAAAACTATACACATATTATTTTTTCATTTAACTTATACATAAGAACAGTCTCGTCTTTTTTTCATATAAATTATAAATTTTTCGATAAAAATTGTTATAGAATTCTTTAGATTACAGATAAATTCTTTTGGGATATTTAAAATTCGTGTGTTTTATTGTTATATAATTTGTGCATATAGCATTGTTACATATTTTGTACAGTTAATAACGAAAGATTAATATTCATGTTTTTTGAAAAAAATCTTATAATTTGAAAAAAATTTTAAGATTTAATCTATATAAAATAAATTTCTGGAAATACTTCAGAAAGTAACTCCTGAAAAAGTTTTCGGCCGTAATTATTTTGTCCCAGAGAAAATTCTGGGACATAATAAACTCTTTTGCATACTCTCTTCTCTATAATAAAGCTATACATGTTAATATTTTACAAAAACTTTCCTTTAAAGATAACAATAATATAATTATGTGAATAAAAATAATCTTTAAAATTTTTAAAACAAAACGCCTACATAATAATAAATTATTAATAAGTATTCAAGGTGAAACATTGCTTACTCTATGTACTTTTAAAAATTACTTTTAAAAACGATATTATATGCCGATTTTTATCACAATTTATACATATCATAGCGATCACAAATCCAGCTATAAATATCATATCGACATATATAGTTTAAGCAAATTTTTCTTTAATCCATTATGTTATAATAATTTTACTAACTATTTTCTTTTTCCTTAGTTGCGGTCATAGGCACCGGTAGTTTATCTACGTCACTTCCAGTTCCCTTGGTATTCAGGGTATTAGTTTCGGGCGTCGACTCGGACAACGAGCATCTTGGACTCTTAACGGGAATCGGTATTTTACTGTGAGCGATATACGTTCTATTAGGTGTTTCCTTCTCCTTATTGTCCTTATTATCACGAAGCGGTACTGCATTTTGTACAGTGGTCGAGGCAGTAGTGACGCTAGTCGCTTCCTTTTGCAAACTCGCGTTTGCAGTCGGTCGATTCTCGGTAGCGTCGTAATATATCGATGGTTCTTCCGGTCCCGGATTGGGACTGGCCGGACTACCTGCCATACCGTTCGCCAATTTTTCTACAAATTCGGACAAAGCATACTGATGAATAAGCGATATTGATCAATTTATTTCGAATGAATGGGCAATAAAAGAACTCTGCACCAAATACATATAGGGTGCCCCATAGGAAATTGCTGGAACTAATCATTTTTAATGCATGCAGTTATTAAGAAAACTGTGTTGAAAAAAGGAAAGTCTACAGTTTTTAATGGATATAAATAAAATGTTTGTATTCCAGTCTATTTTATTGAAAAAAGTAATGAAAAAGTGCTAATAATCACATAAAATCACATAACCTATTGATAAATATTTTCGAAGTGCGCACCATTTGAATTTGTACAAAATTCTGTTCCTTTACGAAAATCCGTAAAAACTTTTTCTAACGTGTCATTTTTAATGTTATTGACGATCCTTTTAATAGCTGCTATTAATCTGACACGGATAAAAAATTTATCATTAGTTTATGTGATTTTATGTGATTATTAGCACTTTTTTCATTACTTTTTATCAATAAAATAAACTGGTATACATTTTATTTACATCCATTAAAAACTGTAGACTCTTTCCAACATCATTTTTGTTTTCTCAATAACTGCATGTAAGAAATGATAGCTAATTAGTTTCAGCAATTTCCTATGGGATACCCTATAGGATTTTGGCTTTCGGTGGAATTGGGTTTTTTTTAATATGTTGTAGCTTATGACTTGCTGAATAAAAAATGTAACAGTCTTGAAAGCTAGATATTCGCTAGTTAAACAACAGAGTCCTAATTTTTTATGTTTCACTAGCTGCAAATAAATAATCATCTGTTATTTAGCTAAAAGCCTATTTATTTTTCCTAATTAATCCTTGTTTAACAGATTATAAGTTATATTATTTGAGAAAATTAGCTGATTTTGCCAGGATTCAATTTCATATAGGATTTTATATAGGTTCAAAATCTCGTACTAATATAAAATTGAATTTTCAAATACATATAAATTAAATCTTCAAATTATTTTTCAAATTATAACATTTTTTTCAAAAACATGAATATTAACCTTTTGTTATTAACTGTACAAAATACGTAACAATGCAATATGTACAAATATTATATAACAATAAAACATACACAAGTTTTAAATATCCCAGAAGAATTTATCTATAATCTAAAGAATTCTGTAACAAAATATTTTTAGATAGCAGAGAATAAAATCATAATTTTTATAAAAAAAAATTATAATTTATATTAAAAAAAATAATATATGACTGGCTGTAACTCAATAACTATCCAATATTTAGCTTTGAGGCTGTTACATATTTTGTTCAGCAAGAGGTAAGTTACAACATATAAAAAACAGCCAATTCCATTGAAAGCCAAAATCCTGTACATTTGATGCAGAGTCCTTTGCAAGGAAAGAAAATAACTGTCACACACATACTTTGTAATGGTTCCCTGTCGGCACTGGTTTGCACAATTGTGGCACCACCAGTAGCATCCACCACCCTGATTTCTAATCTTCCCGCCACTGCTTCTTCCTCTTCTTCCCCTTTCTGAGCGTTGAACGTTGCGTCGAAAAGAGAGAAGGCTACTGCTGGTAGACTAGTTCTTCTGACTGGTGCGGTCTGTCTCGGCTCGTCATATCGAGTGGCAATATTCCTCATAACATCAACTTCATATAGCAAATCGTCAAATGCTGCTTGTTGAACCTGTTGACATATCAAAATTATGATACATCTATGTATCAAAAACCAGGGAGTGTCTACTTAGATCTTATAAAAAAAATCCCCCGAGAATTGTTTGATCTCATCCAGGTATTTTTGTTTAAATTTCAAGTAAAATAACAAAAATGTGTAGATGCAACTTTTTGAAATAAAAATTTTAAATAAAATAAATTACTTTATTGTATGCGTTTTCTAATATTTTTTTATTCATACGAATGCAAAGAAAGTTACCAAAAGTGCAATTTTTCCAGCATTTAATATTGATTTATTAATCGTAAAATTAATTTGGACAATAATATAAAAAGCAATATATTATCTAAATGTTAAAGATATATATACAAATGTACAATAAAAAATATAAAAAGATAAGAGAAAAAATAAGTTATTATAAAGATCTTAAGGAGTACTAATTTTTTTTTAATATTATTTAAAAAATCAATAATTTTCTATGAAATTTGCATAAGACTTTGATTCTAAAAAAATATTATCAATACAAAATCGCATAAAAATTTAAAAATTTAAGTATTACAAAAGTGCATAAAAGACAATTTTTTATAAAAAATTGTGTTTCAATAAAATTTTATAAGAATTCTCGGATTAATTCAAGATGAAAAAAGATCCCTGACAATTCCCGATTTTTCCTCGAATTTTCAGAGAATAGATAGAAGCCTGAAAGCTACCAACAGTGATGAATACATATGGTGACTATCTGCTCTTCATTTTACAAGACAGGTCTTTATTTCAAATCAGCTGTCTTTTATATTCATAATTTTTCTAAAACTTAATTTTGTCCTTTATTTTTAAAAATTTGTTCTTCATTTTTTATTTAGTATTTTAATGTCTAATATCGTATTAAAGTATTAACATGAGAATTTGTACAAGAACAACGAAAAGAACCTATTTAAGAAACCAGGAGTTTGTTTCAACATAGTCAAATTAGTTTCAAACAATAAGAATACGTAGACTTTTGATAGTCACACAGAATTATTTTATTTTTTTAATTTTTAGGTCCTTTATTTTCTCTCGGAAAAAATGATCACCGTATGAATACATCACAGAATGATGCATACATAGAATACGAACCAGTGGAGCTTCGAGATGAGCTCGAACATGGGGTGCTAAAGCTGGAACGCTCCAAGCTCGCGGAAGCGCCCCTTGGAGTTCCGGATACTTTTCGATCCCCGCGATGTTTAAGCATCTGTGCGGCGCCGCTGGCTTCGGAGAATCCTCGCTTATTTTGGACAACGCAGTGGGAATCAAGGATTGCTGGCACACGTTCGATGCGTTCGATTGAGCCGCGGCAGGTTTTGCATCTGATTGCTGTATACTTTCGACGATATCTGTGGACTGTAATAAAAACTCATTTTGAAACATCACTTGTTCCAGTGACATATCATGCTTGCCTTCATTATATTTCTGTCATGATCAGAGTTGGCAGAAAACTTGTTTCTTTTTCATTTTAAACAGCATTGATTTTTTTTAAATAAGATTTTTTGTTTTATGTGTTTTTAAGTAAAGTAAAAAAACATGTTTTAAGCAAGCAAAAAAAAACACTTGATAGCTTTATTCTGTGTAAGAATTTAAATATGAATTAAATAATAATTGAATAATATAAAATTATAAATTCTTTAAAGTGTAAGACAGGCAACAAGAGCCAATCGCGGATGACAATGCGTTATTCCAACGAAACTAAATTTTTCGTTAGAATTAAATACCTGTGCACAAGGCACCAAATTTTACTTGGTGCCTTGTGCACAGCGTGAAAGTATAGAATCCAAAGGATCTGAATAGCTCAGTTGGAAGAGCAGTCGCCCGGCAAGCGAAAGATCTCGGGTTCGATTCCCAATTCAGCGACTTTCGGATCTATATTTTTCTCTTGCATTTATTTATTTATTTTCGCAAAGGGGTTAAAGGATTATTGAAATTAAATCTCAAATATGAGATTATTTCATATTTTAAAATCTTGGTTGTGACCAAGTAAAATTTGGTGCCTTGTGCACAGGTATTTAATTCTAACGAAAAAATTTAGTTTCGTTGGAATAACGCACTGTCATCCGCGATTGGCTCTTGTTGCCTGTCTTACACTTTAAATTCATATTTATATTACAGAACCGTGTTAAACTCTTAATTTATAAATTCTTTATTTTATTTTAAGTTATTAATTTTAAAATTTATTTAATTTTAATTCAATTTATAAAAGTAGGTATTTAAAAAATACCCAATATGCAATGACTATAATGCAATTTCAATATATTATGTTACCGTTCATTTTTTCTTACTTAAATGTATATTAAAGGAATTACATTATTTTATTATTTGTAATAAATAAAATATAAAATGCAATGCGTTATAATTTAGATTTTAATAATTTGTGCTTTGTGCAGATAGCTTTATATGTATAATCTTTAATATATTCAATTATATTGATTGTTACTTAATATTTAATATCCAAAAATAAATATTCTATTAAAATAATACTTATCTTATTATTTTTATTTCATTATTTATATTTACATTTTTAATTTTATATCTAAGTTACATATAAATATAGATAAACTAAAAGATTAAAACAAAAATCTTTTTGCAATATGCACGTCTATTAGTTTTTCTTTGCAGTTTTTTTATCATATATTTTAATTGCAACAGTAGTTTAAAACTATTTAAAAAATACAAAAATGTTTAAAACAATGTCCACTGTTTTGAATAAGTTTTAATCAAACAGTTTTGAACAAAATGTTTCTATTAAAACATGCCAATCCTGATCATGATAAATGCACTTCTTTTTTACCTGCGGCGCTATGGACGGGGCGTTTGTTCCTTTGTGTTCGGGGCTCTGTAAATTTTCTCCCTTCCATTCGTTATCCGTCTCCTCGGAATCGTCAAATTGCGATTTCCATTGCGAAGCCAAGGTCAACCCCCCGCCGCCTTTAGTCACCTGCTGCAAGGCGGACACGTTGTCGTCGTCGATTTGTGCAAATTGCGTGATAGAGCAATCTCGTACGAGATATCCCGAACGTCCGGCTCTCATTTGTTGCCGGTTCTCCGCTTTTCTTCTGGGTTCTCTTCTGAGAGGTTCCCTTTGTTCGGTTACCTATAAAAACCGTCCAAGTGTTCATAAATGAAAGTGATAAGTCGAAGAGGCTCTAATAATAATATTATTGCAGAATTTCATCTAGGATTTTATATAGGTTCAAAAAAAAACCTAAAAATTAATTATATAAAAATGAATTTTGGTGCAGGGTCCTTTTGGACAAATTAAAATTTGGTGAATATTTTTGACTAGTAAAAAAGATTCTATATGAAAGACCCTAGTTTTTATTAAAAAATAATCTAAAAATTCTTCCTTACTACATCACCTCACATGTACTTACCGGACTTTGATTTCCAACGTATTTAGTATTAGTTACATCGTAAGAACAATAGGAAGCGTCGACTTCCGTTTGTATGCGAGGACTAGGTAATTCACCGGATGCACCTCCTTCAGGAGTAGCTATACGCAAACGCGCAAGCGTGGCAGGCAATGTAGCACCGCTTGCTGATTTCCTAAGCGGGGCTGTTGCGTTCGTTACAGTTTTAAGTCGCGGAACGTCGGATGCGGAACGTGCGGAAGCCATCAATGCGTCTCCCTCGTTGTCCACCTGTTTTTCTATTGGTGCGGGAATTTGAGATTCTACTGCCATCGATACGGCGCGTCGTTTTTTGGGAGATCCTGTATGCGATGAATGATATATTAGAAATTATAGTTTTATTACGATACATCTATATGCAGTGTTATTTGCTGTTATCTAAATAAAATTATATACATGATCATCCAGATAAAACTTTGGCGTCATCTTATCTTTATATAAATAATAAAAATATGAATACATATATTTTTATATCTCTTTTATAATTTAATTTTTTTTATAACTGTGTTTACATAAGCAGTCTTAAAAATTATTATCTAGAAAAATTATTTAGATGAATTGCCATATAATTTTATTTTTGATCTAGATATATTTAAAACAAAATCATCTTCGTCTTATCTAAGATGAATTTACATATTTTTATCTCATCTTTATCCAAGCTAATTTTAGAATCACCTAAGCACAACACTGTTTATAAGATAAAAACGTAGATATTTGAGAATCGCCAGACAGAATTTAAAAAAAGTAAGAATCTTCTCTCGACCGTACTGGCAAATATTATTTATTCAATCACAACGTTTCGACCCTTCTTTGAGTCCTTATCAAGTGATTTGTAAAAATAAAAATAAAATTATAATTTTATACTGTTTATAAGTATAATTTATTTGAATGTAAATTATATATAAACCTTGAGTTGGTAGAGGTGGCATAGTCTGCTGTGCGACTTGTTGATGCGTGTTATCCGTCGTTGGGATCGTAGCATTACAATTTTTGTCCCTACCATGATTGCTAATTGCTGCTGCAAATGGCACTGGAGAACCTTCTATCCCCCGTTGCCTATTTCTTCTATATATGCTTTCGTAATCCAATTGTGCCTGTTGCATAAAATTATTTTATAATGAATAAATAAATCATATTTAAATTATATATGATATATATAAAAAATAATTTAAGAGATTATTAGAATTAAAATATAATTAATAAAATAACGAACTTTTTGCATCAGTCTAATATAAACTTAAGGATAGATTTTTATAATTTTTTACATCCAACTCCTTCCTGTTATCTGGCTCCACGTTCTCTTGATTGTTTGTGTCCACATTCGTAAGTGGAGGTTGATTGATAGTAGTAGCTGTAGTAAGTGCAGGTGGTACAGTTACTGTAGGTAATGATCTAGTAGTTGATAAACCTTCATTAGCTATTAATGGCCTTTCCCAATCATAAGGATCATTTGACTTTACACCTCTACGCTTCATACATCGTTCAAACAGACCAGCTAACATTCCATAATCTGGTTTATCCGCATACTCTAAATTCTATATAAAAATGTTTATAAATATTTCATTATTACAGAAATAAAAATGTGATAACAATCATTATAAAAATGTTCAACAAAAGATGCAGAAAAAAAATTAATTGCTCTAAAATTAAAATATTGCATAATATTCTTCAATCCATATGTACCTGAATATGCTCTAAAAAAACTCGTAGATCAGATGGGAGGTGTTTCAGAAGCAATCGATGATCGTACTTTTCTTTCATGAGACCCACCTGTGCAGAAAAATGTTACGCTTTATTGATACTTCTAATTATGTACGAGACTGTTTATGCATCTGGTAATTACGTAGAGATTTCTCGCGGACTTACTTGCTCTTTATCTTTTATTTTCCGCCATGGCAATTGACCATTAACAAATTCGACTAGCATATAAAATAACGACCACAGATCATCGTGTCGACCCATCTCTTTATTTTTATGTGCATTTACTGACGCATATCGGACGGTTCCTCTAAATCCTGCAGCGGCACGAGGCGGTCGCACTTCTCCTGTGCCAGTTGTAAATTGTCGGGCTAGACCAAAATCTAACATATACACCAGCCTGGAGTTATAAGGGTGTCGGCCGATTGAAAAATTAGACTGTAAACAAAAAAAAAGTCATTATTTTTTTCAAATATAATAACCATTATATTATAGAAATAAATTGTAACTATTCAACTATAAAAATTACAGGAAGATACATTCTACATAAATCTTACAATGTAAGGTTTACACAATGCGCAACATTTTATACTTTTACTTACAAAATGACAAAATCGATAATTATTTTTTAAATAATATCACTGTTTAAATACACCAATTAAAGCACCATATCATAAATGTATATGCAAAAACGTACAGGTTTAATATCTCTATGCAGGAATCCCACTTGATGAATGCTTTCTATAGCTTTCAAAATTTGAAGACCAAGACGTAACGTAGTGGAGAGTGAAAAAGCACCTCTCGGTTGCGCCCTGCGCAATTCCGCTAAATTCTTTCCTTGTAATTGCATCACAACGTAATTAAATCGATCATTACGTCCACAGCCAATAAAACGACACACGTGATCTTTACCTGAAAGTTTTTACGATAAGCCAATATATTGAGAGAAAAAAAAAAAGAATAAAATTTGTTTTAATTTTTATATGAAAATTTCAATCGATGGAAAGAGCAGTTTCATACTGACCCTGTAATTTTTTTAGTACAGCCACCTCCATCTTTAAGACTTGCTTAGGCTGTCTAGCAGATTCAACTTTAAGTGCGACTTGTTCCTTGGTCATTAAATCGAGACCTTCGTAAATTTCGCCAAATCCGCCGCCACCTATTTTCCTCACCTACATTTACAAGATACACACATGTTTTCTTAATACATCTCGCTTGTTTGCAATTTAGGGGTGGGCGATACAATGAAAAATATCGATATTTTATATCGATACGTATCACAAATAAAAATATTGATACAGCAAAAATATCAGATAGAATGTATCAATATTAGTAATATCGATACTCGATACTGTTAATAGTTAATATCTCTATTATTGTATTTCAAATATTTGTGTGTTCAGGGAATCAATGTGTATTACTGAAGGAGTAAAAATGCAAAAATTGAGCAGCTTACTGATAGGTATATACTTATAGGTATATAAGTATATTACACATGTACACTAATCAATGTTACTCACTTTTCGTATATTATTATCAGATATATACGATCTCAGATATTGGAAAGTGAAATGTCAAAGAAAATATTAAGAATTTTTAGCTCAAATCTTTGATAATTTATTTCTGACATTATCTTATAACTATTATAAGCTTTTGAAGCAATTACAACAGATTATACTTACAAAAAAAAACTATAATGGATGAAAAGTTATAATAGGTGATAACTGTTAGAAAGGGAGTAAATTTAAATAGTATAAACTTTTTTAGTTATGTAAGTATATAAAAAAGCTGAGTAAAGAAGCAAACATACTGTGATTTTGTATAATAATACAGTAGACTGTCCATAACTTTCCGGAAAGTTATAGAGAGTTTCTCATTTCTCATCGTTCAGTAATCACGTAATCAGGCTGATATCGAAAGCTAAAATATCGATATTATAATTTAAAAATATTGATATTTCAAATATCGATACCATATCACCCATCCCTAGCTTGCATTCGCTACTAAACAGAACAGAAGTTACGTATGTATATAGCATTGACGTAAGTCGTTTTATCCTTTCAAAGTAAAATACTGATAAAATAAAAACCAAATATTCGTCGATCTACGTTGTCAGAAAACGATGACGTTGAATGTTTGTAAGAAATAAAAGATTGAATAAAACTCACAACTTTCCACCGTTCCTTGACCACATGGCCAGGCTGTAACAGATCCTCACTCGTCATGGTTATATTATTATTTTGATCCGTGCTTTCGTCGTCTACATTCCTCAACACCAGATCCTCCAGATAATTTGTAGGCCTGGAAAAAAGATGCGAGAGAGTGACAAGATTACAATAAATTGCATGTACATGCGACAGATATGGATCGAATTCGCGTGGACGGTTCCCGCGAGCTGTCAAAAAAAAAAAAAATGACAGCTCGAGCGAGGGGGATAATTTATAATTATTCTCCTCTCGAAATTTAATTTTAACTTCTCGCAGCACGGACATTTAATAAAATCGGTTCGATACGCGCCCTGTGCTAGGCAGCCATGATTGCTCGCGAGCGAAAGGTGTTGCTGGTTTCGTTATTCGGTCAGCAGAATTTTAACTTCCACAAATCCAGCGATCTTCCGAGACCTCGACGCGACACACGAGGAACGACGAGAAAAAAATCCCTTTTATCGCGACAAATTAATCTCCGCATTGCGTGGAATGTTGATTATTACAATTATTACGTGCACCTCTCGCCGAGATGCCCCACTCTCTCCGTCTCTCTCTCTCTCGCTCTCTCTCTCTCTC